CAGATAAGGGTGTGTATCTCTGCCTAGTCTTCTTGATGTTCCATGGGCATCTCAATTCCCACCCCCTAACACACACACACATTCTTCCCCCATTTGGGAGTCCTCACTTTGTTATTGCATGAGGCTGATATTGTATTGAAACGCAGCCATATGGAAGGTGACATCCAATTCAGGTCCGCTGTCCACCGAAAGGGAATCCTCTCGTAGCCCCTTCAGTTGGCTGGAATGCACCAATCACCATGTCCCTCTAACAGACTTCTGGGAAGGAGTATTTAGAGATGGGTACAGACAGTACCAACCCGTATCTGTCTTTCTATCAGGCTCTCTGATGCTAGACCAGAAGACAGTTCCTTCCTCTGTAGCCTCCCAGATGACTCCACCAACCAGCTGCTCCAGCCGCATGATGATTGCTGCCATCTTCAAGAACAACTTGTTGGCCTATATCACCCAGTGACAGGAAGCAAGATGGGAGGCCCCAGCCTGGAAGCCCTGCGAGATCCCACATTCCACAGAGGTCAGTGGGCAGGAGAGCTCAGTACTTGCTGCTGCTATACTTGTTTAGGTTGATCTTGGAAGAAAAGTATCAGTCTGGGAAGACTTTTCCAAGGCTCTTGGAGGGCAGGGCTGGAGGCAAGTTATCATTTTTAATGCTCAGCACTGTTGTGCTAGAGCAGTCTTTGAATGTCACAAAGGTCATAAAAACGTAAGAACGGCCATACTGGGTCAGGCCAATGGTGCAGCTAGCCCAGTACCATGTCTTCTGACAGTGGCCAATGCCAGGTGCTTTGGAGGGAATGAACAGAACTGGGCAATTATCGCGTCATCCATCTTGTCATCCACTCCCAGCTTCTGGCAGCCAGAAGCTTAGGGACACCCATTCATGGATGTAACCTTCACAAACTTATCTAAATCTTTTTTTGAACCCATTTATGGTTTTGGCCTTCTCAACATCCCCTGGCAACAAGTTCCACAGGTTGACTGTGCGTTGTGTGAAGTACCCCCTTTTGTTTATTTTTAACCCGATGCCTATTAATTTCATTGGGTGACCTAGTTTTTTGAGATCCCTTTGTAACTCTTTGCAAGTCTACTTTGGACTTAACTATCTTGAATAATTTTGTATCATCTGCAAATTTTGCCACCTCACTGGTTACCCCTTTTTCCAGATAATTTATGAATATGTTGAACAGCACTGGTCCCAGTACAGATCCCTGTGGGGGCATCACCATTTCTCACCATTCTGAAAACTGACCATTTATTCCTACCCTTTGTTTCCTGTCTTTTAACCAGTTACTGGTCCATGAGAGCACCTTCCCTCTTATCCCATGACAACTTACTTTGCTTAAGAGTCTTTGGTGAGGGACCTTGTCAAAGGCTTTCTGAAAAATCTAAGTAAACTGGATCATCCTCGTCCACACGTTTATTGACCCTCTCAAGAATTTTAGTAGATTGGTGAGGCAAATTGGTGAGCTGTGTTGACACTTTCCCCAACAAATCGTGTTCATCTATGTGTCTGATAACTCTGTTCTTTACTATAGTTTCAACTAATTTGCCTGCTACTAAAGTTAGGATTACTGGCCTGTAATTTCCAGGATCACACAGCAACGTGAGGGGGCCAGAATAGCAGGTAGAGACCACAAAACTGGCCCAGCATACTGGAGGATGGGGCATTTATTTGGTGGAATAGGGGTTCCTAGCACCCGCTGATTCTCATTGCTCTGAGACCTTACACCCAGGGAACCAACTGGTCTGCACCATGGCAGGTACCTAACCTGGCTGGAGATGTACCTGAGACATGTACTCGGCCGCTGCGGTGCCTTAACCCTTCCAGTGCTTGCACTTTCCAGGCTGTCAGTCAAACAAGTGCATGGGAAGACACACTTAAGTTCACAGTTCATGAAAGGTTAGAGTGATCCATTCCGAAGGGGGCTGATCCACTAAACAATTCTTCCTGGTGGGGGAAACAGGTCAGTCAGTGTCAGGTGCCCTAGGACACTGTTACTTTGGTACCTGCTGCCATGTCTCTCTATGACACAGCTACCCGCATAGCAACTGTGTTGAGAACCAAGCACCACACCACTTTCTCTTTGCCAATAGGATCCGTTGTTAGAAGGTGGTTTGGAGGTAGCAGCTCTCCTGGCACGTTCATGCACTGGTCAAAGCTTTGTTTTCTTTGGTTGTAATTGGTTCTTGCTCCCCTCTCTTCTCAGGTACCCCTTGCTGCCTTGGCCTGGTGCCAGTCGAAGAAGTAGAGAGGCTAGATTGCTGCCAGCTCAGAGGAGAATGGTGTCCCCAGAACCCAACCATCACTTGTTTGGGGCAGGACCCAAGGAGGCATCTGCGCAGCAGCCCTCCAAGGCACATGCCCTTTGAGACTCCTCCTCCTACCAGTTAGGGACAAAGTTGCCTTTGCAAAAGACTGTTGTTCTAAAGAGAGAGAGACTGGGTATTTATTTTTGTATAACAGCCTTATTTATATATTTATGCACTTGTAAATAGATGTATATGTGCCTTTTATAATGCTATTGAAACAGGAGGATACAAGAAACTGGGGCATCTGCCAGCGATGGCATCGGGCTGTTTATCAGAACACAGCCTGGGAAAGACAGCCTTCTGCTCAACACAAGCACAAGAGACATCATAGGACATTGGGCCAAGCACAGCTGCGAAGAGGAGACTGGTCTAAGATTTTTTTTTTTGCAGCAGGGACTAGGTGAAAGATGAGAGTGCAGAAAAGAGGGTCCCTTTTTCTCTCCTGGCAACATGCCCCTCAGCATGGATCAAAATCATGTACAATACATATTGGCATCAACAACCCTTCACATACTCGCCATCTGTAGTAGCATATCTGCAAAGACAAACCCCTGCTTTAACAGCTAAAATAAAGGCTTTCGTCTTCTCTGTGGTCTGCTGTATGCTAAATATTCCTATGCTGAGCCCAGTCTCCTCCCTTGGCAAGAGCAGGGGAGGGGGGATGTTTTCCATGAGTTACTGCTTTACACAGGGCCTCCAGCTGGTTCCTCTAAATCCAGGAGTCAGCAGAAGAGGCGAGGCCCAGTCCGGCTCCAGGTGAAGCCCAGACAGAATGCCCATTGGGGGAACAAGGTCGGACCTTTGAATGAGCTGGAGAGGTGGGGGTTTTATCTCCATCTTTGTGAACAGAGCTGCACAGAAAAATGTGTCTTTTGTGCAGACTCTCCCTGTTTTCTTTTTCATTTTCCTTATTTCAAAAGTCTTTAGCATCTGTGTCCGTAGGTAAAGGTGCCCCTTTGAATGGTAGCTGAAGGTGCTCGGCACCATCCAGGAGAGGGCCTATAGGCCACAAGCAGACAGTACAAGAAACACTAGCTGTATTGTGATGGGTGCAACTGCACTGCACCTGCCCAATTGGGATCTTTACTGTTCTTCATTTCTGCTTGCTGACTCCAACTGCTTTACGTTATTTAGGACTGAAGCGTCCCATGCTCTGTTCTGTCGTGCTGTTGCTTTGCTTCCCCTCCAACATGAGAGTTGTTTGCACGTTTGATCCTGGTTCAATTTACACAAAACACCTCACAAAGAACAACCTGGAACAACCGCAAAAGGGGCAGAGAGCCCGAGAGGGTTGGTTGGTTTAGTTTAGTTGGTTCAAAAAGGGCTCTGGACCACTAACGTCTAGGACTGGGCTACACCTGCCTTAGAATGAAACCTCACCACTTGATGAGCAAGGCAGTGAGACAGCAAGAGTGCCGTAGTCCATAGTTAAAGAATGACCAGATTCCAGGAGAAGGGAAAGGAAGAAGAAAACTATGACACATCCAGCCTAATTCTCCTCTGACAGGTTGGACCAAGTCCGTAGTTACCCCAATGTCAAACCAGCATAAGAATAGACTGAGGCCTACCGCTGCTACAAACACGCCAGGCGCACTTTTCCCTAACACTGACTTCAGTACCCCAATTCATTGCGGTGTCTTAGAGGCAAGCAGCAAAGTCTGTGATTTAGCCATGGCCTTCCCTAATTTGGTCAAAGTTTAACCCTTCAGACCCTGAAGAAGTTCATCCACAGTGTACAGCATACTTGTCTTGGGCTCCTCCAAATACCTTGTTCCTCCCTCTCATTCCCCCCTTTCACAATGTGTCCTCCCTCCGCCCCCACAGAGGGGGCAGGAGAGCATCTGTGGTATTGGGCTAGCCTACTCTTCAGCAGACAGCTGGTGGAACGTGCTTCTCTCGAAATACGTGCCCAGTTGCTCTTTGACAGGACATACTACATCACAAGATGCAACCTTAAGAAACCCATTAACTACACCTAAGTACTAAAGATAGAGCTGAGGAGTGCAATTTCCAGTGGGTAGATCTCACACATCAAAAATTGCTCCCTCTTGAACAAGGGCTAAGAGCACATCCAGCATTCATTCAATGCAAATCACTGTAGCACATCACTAACACTGTTCAATGATTGTATCTGGAGCACTACCTAGCCTCTTCTATTGCCAAGACTATGATAAAGGTTTAAAACAAGAGGAGTGAATGTGAGTTGGGACTCCATTTTTATCCCTCTTTCTTACACATTCCTTTTCCTTTATTACCTGTATGTACTATTATTTAAAATTTGCACCCAACCAACAGTGTTCTGACTGCCCAAGATGACCGGCCTCCAGTGCATTCTTAATGTGCATTTCTTTCTTTGCAGGTTAACGAGGGTTACCCTTTGTAACTAGTCCTAGCTGTCAGGGCACCCACTATCAAACCAAAACAAAACTTTAAGGAAATCTTTTTAGCCTGGCTTTGCCAGCTATGATACTAATATAGGAGACCAGAGGGCTGCTTAGTCCACCACCCTAAGGCATAACAAGATCCAATGGCTGACAACTGAAGTCAGGAAAATTCTCCATCGCTTTAACTCCAGATTGGATGGCTTTCTAAATGCTATGCGCCAGTTCAACCAGAAGTGCTTGAGTTTGATGCAAGGATCAGCGGGTGACATTTTATGGCCTGTGTTATGCAGGAGGTCAGACTAACGGTAACAATTTCAAAAGACACTTTAGTGACTTAAGCACTTAGACGCCTAAGTCACTTTTGAACATTTTATTCTACATAATCATAATGGTCCCTTTTGGCCTTAAAAAAAATCTATATCTATGCTAGCCTCAAAACACTCCAACCTGCTTACAAACTTTTATTATCTACAGTAGGATGCCAGCTTCAAAACTGACTTTACATATTTAAAATCCATGTAACCCCTTCCCATTCTTTATGCATATTATCCTGTAAGGGTGTGTTGGTTAATTAATAGAGTTAAGAATTACCCATGACACTCAGCAGAAGAAGATACAAAATGGATCGTGTTTCAAGAGGCACTGAAGGGAAGATCTATCCTGCTCGCTGGAAGACAAGGAAGTGAATAGGCGACAGCCAGATACTGAGCCCTTGATTAGTCTGGAGCTGTGCACAACTGTACCCCAAGGTAGGTCTGACTGCTATGAAGAATAGCTTATAAAAGCCATGGGAGCATAGGATGAGTCCTTATTGCAGAAGTGCAGACTTTGCTTAAAGGGTCCATAAAGACTGCACCTAATCAGCAGTAAACAAAGCCATTTGCTACAGCTCACCAGATGCAGCCTGTGATGCTCTAGCTGGCTCTGAATGGAAGTTCAAAAGGGAGCATTGCATACTGGGATCTGCGGTGTTTACAGTCCCTCTGTATTAAAGATGCCCTATGGATGACTGGCAATATGGAACCCCAGGGGAGATTGCAAACAGGACAAAACCTTTGGCCCAAACTTTGACATCCTGTGTGTTATTGGGACTGGTGTTGGTTGCAGACAGGGCCTCTCAGTGACATATGCCCATCACCAGGGAAATATCTAACGAATGAGGCTAGTGACAGAGGGAACTTTAGTTTAGTATCTTGGTATCACATGGAGGCTGAGGTGGTGGGAAGATGCGTCCATCTTTTCTGCTTAAGAGAGTGATTTCCTCCTTGAGTACTTCTGCCTCCTGGGCCTGGAGTTGGACCAGTGTAATCAGCCTCTCTCTCTCCTGGATCTCAGCTTTCCGGGGGCCTTGGAATTCTGCTCCCTGTAGGAAGAATGAAACAGAGCTCTCTTTAAGCACTGGGGAAGGCATGGCTTCACTTCAGCTGGGAAAGCAAAGCCTTACCCTCACCAACCCAGGCTTACACCTTCTCCACTCACATCTGATGACCACTCGGTAAGTGACAGTTAATTCAGTGCTGGGCCTCGGAGCAGGCACCACAGATAGCACGGGGGAAAGAACACGTCATTTCACTCAGATCACTCTGGACAATGGAGTGGGGTGGACTTGCTGCGAGGGAAGTCCCATCCAGTCTCCTTCGATCAGAAATATGGTGATTGCATTGCAGTGGTAAAAGGACGCCACGGCCTTAACAAAGGGAAATCTGGGCATGGCCTGTTCCAGCAGGCATATGGATGAAAGCCACCCTGCTGCAATACAAATTGGAGTTGCTGCTCAACTTTTACCATGAGCATCATTACCCCAGATCACTAAATGCTGATGGCAGTACAAGGAATTATAAAGGTGTCCTAGTGGGAACAGACGAAGGCCTGTTACTAAACTGTCATGACCAAGGCTTAGGCAGAGCAGCAGGAAGGTTTACCAAGTCATTCTGCAGTGCGTCCAGCTTCATTTCAAGTCCCTGCTTTTCAGCACACAAGCTGTTCAGCTGCTGCAGCTTGCCGGTGTTCTCTTTCATCAGCATCATCAGCCGTTGCCGCAGCTCAAAAATCTTCTCCTGGGACAGAGGAAAGTTGAAGGAAACCCTCTTTTCTTTTTTTAAGTGGTAAAAACCATACTATTTGCAAGGAGTAGATGTTTCATAATGAACCTGCTCCTACTGAAGTCAATGGCAAAACTCCCTGGGCCAGATCCAGATCCGAGTTACACCGATGTAAAACTCAGAGAAACTCCAGCGAGGGGTAATTCACTACACTTATCACATCTGAGCCCAAAATCTTGCCCCAAGACAGTTTTGCTATTGATTTCTTTAGAAGGAGGTGACAGGAAGGTACAATGTATCCAAAATACATATGTAGGCTTGGATGTTTTATTGGGCACTTCTGGGAGAAACAACAACATTCTGGTAAAATACCTTACAATTAAAAGCAGACAAGAGTGTGTCTGTTTATGTGGGAGGTTTTCCATGTCTCTTGACCTTTGCAATCACTCTTAAATTTGTTGCACATGTTCCCTCTGGTTTTCATATTTTTTAAATGACATAAATAACGCCTGGGTATTCTAACAATAACTGGAAGGCGGTTGCATTTACAAAGTAATCGCTGGGTCTCAGGCTGAATAAATGCTTAGATGTAGAGGGCAAGTTCTTAGTAGCAAGTAGGCTGAGGAGTTTATTAGCCCAGGAGATGGTTGGGGACTTATGAGGAAGTATTTTTTTAATTATTTGTATTCCTGTAGCACCCAGGAACCCGAGGCATACACCAGAACACAAAGACTGTACTTACCTAAAGCACTTACGAGCTAAATTCAATATTACAGCTGTGATTTTCAAAGGAAAATTAGGTTATTAGGTGCTGAACATCAATTGAAAGTCAATGGCAGGGACACCCAAGAAATACTTTAGGAAGACAGAAACTGAACTCAGGAAAATAGTGACTATATGTCCTGATTCTCCAGTACAAAACAGCAAGTGTAACAGCAGTTTGTGGCAGAAGCACAAAGGATTTGGGGATATGGGAGGGAAAAGGGTGTGGTGAAAAGGGGGAAAAGAAGTTGAGAGCCCCCACTGAAGAGACTTTTATGCAGCTATTCAGTTTCTAGGCAAGTGACTTCCTTGTAATTGCAGCTGTATCACTGGCCTGGGGGCCTCTGTCCCTGCTCCTTACCTCCCACTTTTTGAGTTCCTGGGCTTGCATGTGCTCTTTCTCCATCATTTTTATCTTTAGCTCTTCCAGGTTTGTGTTAACAGAGAGTGTCTGCAGGGCTTCCAAGTCCACCACCCGGCCAAACTTCATCAGCATCAGCTGATTACAGTTCTCTTCCAATCCTAACAGAACAGACATCACGTTTAAGATATGTATTTGGAAACCTTTTTCATAGGTGAATAATAAGAGCTAGCATATCTGTGGGGATGCAGTTGCCTAGTGGATAGAGCCAGAGTGGACTGGAACTCAGGAGACCTGGGTTAGGTTCCCAGCTTTGCTAGTAGCTGATCTTGAGCGAGTCACATCAATGATACAGATTCCTTCCCTTTGTAAAGCGCTTTGAGATCTACTGATAAAAAGAGCTAGATATTATTATTATTATGGCTTATTTCATCTGAGGACCTCAAAGCATTTTAAATACATTAATTCATGTAAAGCCTCAAAAAAAAAAGCCACTGATGCTCTGAGAAACAGTTCTACCGCTTATTTCTGCTGTGTGGTCATTATGACATCAGCACCATCTCCACAGTAGCCCGCTGGGATATCGGTGTTGGTGCAGGGAGCAGAGGTGAGAAAGGCAGCTATTGAATTAATTCGCACCCAGCAATACATATACATTAAGCACAGATGCATGCAAGAAGAGATGCCCATCCCTTTAAGGTGGAAAGAGACCTAGAATGCCATATACACAGCAGATAAGACCAAACTGTGCTTAGGAACTCACGCTGGATCCTTATCTCTATCTCCCTCCTGTCCCGGATGAGCTCCTTATGCTGCTGCCGGGCTTGCTTGTAGAGCTCCCTCTGTTCCAACTTCTCATGCTGTAGGACCATGATCCTTTGCTGCAGATACTCCAAGGACTGGTTGGTAAATACCAATGTCTGGGACAGGTCAGTGGGTAACTCCCCATTTACCACGTACTCCACCTGCCAGAAATAGTCACAGACTAGGCTGATGACTGCATGTTACTGGCATTGGGAACTCAAGTCAGCAGTCTGGTTGGCGGACAAGTGATTATGGCACAGCCATTGTGTGAGGACAGCATGCTGTTTTAAACACAACTGGCAGAGAATAGCCTAGGGAAAGCCCATTCCCAACAAGGTAGACCCCAGCATGATAAGAGCCTGCTTATAGCCCTGCATGGACTCCAACACAGATGCTGGCTGAGGCTTCCACCTTTGGCAATTGGAATGGAGCTGAGAAGCAATTCTTTACCCAGCTGCCTGCACGCTCCAGCAGCCTGGGGTCTGCAGAGCTATAAGGCCAGTTCTGACACATTTCTGTCCTTCAGTTCTGACCAAAGATCTATTTTAATGAAGGAAGAGAAAGCAGGCAGGGGAAGCAGGGCCTGCCCCAAAGGCACCTGGGTGAGAGCAGGCAGGACCTGACCTATTTTTTCAGTGGCCTCTGCCTAAACCTCCAAGCATGACACAAAATAAAGTAACAGCAAAAAAGCGCCCAACGCAGAGGAAAAAGTAACACTGTGTCGAGTTTGTCTCCCTGCTTTCAAATCACCTCTGCTGGGACAACATCTGTGAATTAATACATTGTGCCCAATCTGCCAGTCTTTACTTGCACGAAACTCCCATTGTCTTCAACGAGAATTTTGCACACATGAAGACTCCGAGATCAAGCCCTTAGCAGACTTCTGACCACAAACCTACACCATACTTGAGGTACATGGTCACTCAGCATGTCTGGGCTGTCTGGCCTTACTACTCAGTGTATTCCTTTAGTGGTCCAGCAGTAGAGGGGCAAACAATTCTTTTACTTTAACAACAACTAGATATTCCAAGTCAGTCCAGGGTCCCATAACGCTGAGAAGAAAAACTGCAAGCAATGAACTGTGGGCCGATGAGACTAATACTGCTACTGTCACAACCTGGCCTATTTTCCACCTGCTTGGAATCGTCTTGCTGCTGCTAAACCAAATGCAGCACGCGCACACTCTTGCGTCACCTGGTGTAGCTTCAGAGGCACTACAACATGGAGCTCATTCAGTCTCTGCTGCTTCTCCCGTTGAAAGGCCTCCAGTTCCCCTTCAGCTGTGTCCAAGCTGGCTTCCACCACTTTCACCTGCAGAGATGCAAGCCACATACTGACGTGAGGACTTCATAATTTGGACCTAAACCAGCCATCATGGCAATGGTGACCGAGGGCTGCTCTGGGACTGGCTTAGAAGTAGGGTCCCAATTCATCAGATCTGTACTGTTTGGTTCCATGTTAAAGTGAAGGCAACTTTTGTCTAGTTTAACGGTAATGTGATATGGAAGGGCCACACTATTTTGTTCTGTCTTGTTATCTGTAGTGAACTTCCCTGCCCAGTAATAGGATCATCTCCTTTCTAAAGTGAGGTTCTATGCTGACTGTATTGATGCAAAGGTGGCTTTCTTACACTGTAAATCCCCTTCATTGTGCATATCAGAGTGACAAGAAAACGGCCATACTGGGTCAGACCAAAGGTCCACCTAGGCCAGTATCCTATCTTCCGACAGTAACCAATGCCAGGTGCCCTGGAGGGAATGAACAGAACAGGTAATCATCAAGTAATCCATTCCTTGTTGCCCATTCCCAGCTTCTGGCAAACAGGGGCTAGGGACACCATTGCTGCCCATCCTGGCTAATAGCCATTGATAGACCTATGTTCCATGAACTTATCTAGTTCCTTTTTGAACCCCGTTATATTCTTGGCCTTCACAACATCCTCTGGCTAGGAGTTCCACAGGTTGACTGTGTGATGTGTGAAAAATACTTCCTTTTGTTTGTTTTAAACCTGCTGCCTATAAATTTCATTGGGTGACCCCTAGTTCTTGTGTTATGAGAAGTAGCAAACAACACTTCCTTATTTACTTTCTCTACACCAGTCATGATTTTATAGACCTCAATCATATCCCCCCTTAGTCATCTCTTTTCCAAGCTGAAAAGTCCAAGTCTTATTAATCTCTCCTCATATGGCAGCCGTTCCATACCCCTAATCATTTTTGTTGACCTTTTCTGAACGTTTTCCAATTCCAATAATCTTTTTTGAGATGGGGAGACCACATCTGCATGCAGTATTCAAGATGTGGGCATACCATGGATTTATATAGAGGCAATATGATATTTTCTGTCTTATTATCTATCCTTTTCTTAATGATTCCCAACATTCTGTTCTCTTTTTTACTGCCGCTGCACACTGAGCGAATGTTTTCAGAGAACTATCCACAATGACCCCAAGATCTCTTTCTTGAGTAGTAACAGCTAATTTAGACCCCATCATTTCATATATATAGTTAGGATTATGTTTTCCAATCTGCATTACTTTGCATTTATCAACACTGAATTTCATCCGCCATTTTGTTGCCCAGTCACCCAGTTTTGAGAGATCCTTTTGTAGCTCTTCGCAGTCTGCCTGGGACTTAACTAACTTGAGTAGTTTTGTATCATCTGCAAATTTTGCCACCTCACCATTTACCCAGATCATTTATGAATATGTTGAATAGGACTGGTCCCAGAACAGACCCTTGGGGGACACCACTATTTACCTCTCTCCATTCTGAAAACTGACTATTTATTCCTACCCTTTGTTTCCTATCTTTTAACCAGTTAGCAATCTATGAGAGCACCTTCCCTCTTATCCTATGGCAGCTTACTTTGCATAAGAGCCTTTGGTGAGGGACCTTGTCAAAGGCTTTCTGAAAATCGAAGTATACTATATCCACTGGATCCCCTTGGTCCACATGCTTGTTGACCCCCCTCAAAGGATTCTAATAGATTGGTGAGGCATGATTTCCCTTTACTAAAATCATGTTGTCTCTTCCTCAACAAATTATGTTCATCTATATGTTTGACAATATTGTTCTTTATTATAGTTTCAACCAGTTTGCCCAGTACTGAAGTCAAACTTACCAGCCTATAATTACCGGGATCACCTCTGGAGCCCTTTTTAAAAATTGGCGTCACATTACCTATCCTCCAGTCATTTGGTACAGAAGCTGATTTAAATGATAGGTTACAGACCTACAGTTAGTAGTTCTGCAATGTCACATTTGAGTTCTTTAGAACTCTTGGCTGAATACCATCTACACACTTTAGTGACTAAAATAATCAGCTTTTACTTCAATTAGTCTTGCAGAGTCCACAAGCTATGGGAAGGGGTGCTGGATTCTATTCTGGCTCATGCATCATCAACAGCTTTGTTCTAGTAAATTCTGCTTTGAGGATGTTGATGCAATGTGAGAAGAAAAGAAAGAACCCAGCGTGAATGTGTGGTGTTGAGATTAGAAAAATCTTTATCAAACAAACATACGAACTCAAACTGAGCACACTGGATTGGGTATCCTTGAGACACAGTAAAAATGGACCCTTACACAATGCTGTTTTTTGCAGAGTAGTTTTTCAAAACAGAATCTCACATTAAATTTAAAAAAAAAAAAAACATGTTTTTGAATTAATAAAAAATTAAACTCCCAGATAAAAAAAGAGCCCAAGAGCTCAGAATGAGTTAATGTTAAAAGATGAAATCAAAAAGATTGCAAATTACATTTAAATAAATTTAAGGGTGTGGGTTTTTTTTTTAAATAATATTTCAACAAAGCTGAGATTTGTTAGTTACTATTGTGATGGGTGTTCTAGAAATACCTAAGATGGGGGGAAAAAATGTTGACTCATGCAGCAAAATGATCCAGATCCTCAGCTGCTATAAATCAGTGTAGCTCTACGGACTTCAATGGAGCTATGCTGATTTTCACACTCTGAGAATCTGACCTGATATCTTTACACTGGGACCAAACACTAAGGGAAGATGCATAAATTATATAGTTTCAGATGTATCATGCAGTCAAGCTATAAAATAGAGACAGCAAATAACTGCTGCAAGAACTTTCATTTCTCAACAGTGATGCGTTTCAGCCTCTTCACCCGCCACTAAAGCAATGGAATATCACTGCTGTGTAGCACAGCAACACTGCATACCACTTTAGGACAGGATGTGAAGATCAGTGTATCAAATTGCTACTAAAAGGGGAATTTATCTGGGCAGAATGTAATTACCCTCATTGCAATTTTGCCAGGTCTTTGCCCACAAATCATGCCAAAAGTGCCAGTGGATCTTCGATGACTGAGAGGTTAGGCCCTTGGTTTTAAGTCTCAATGAAAAGATAACAACTCAAGTACCATGCCATTCCCACCCACACATAGCAAATGAGGCATGCTGGGAAATTGAGAGCCTACTGTACCTTTTTAGCCAAGGCATCATATTCCTTTTTGAGATTATCAATAACTTTCTTCTCCTCCACTAAGGCTTCCTCAATGTCTAGCCGCTTCTCCCGGAGCTGAAGTGTGTTTTCGAAGAGTGCCTCATCACAGTCTGAGAAGGAAGGTGGCTTGGAATTAAACCAGAGGGGTTGCAGCTTTGGTTTAGTTTTGACTTCACTATATTTATAGGTGGGACTGGTTGCCCCACCTAAGATTGCCTGACATTTCCCATTATAAGACCCGGTTTTCAGTTGCTATAACACTGCCAAACTTTAACTCTTTTGGGCTGAAATTTTCCATCCCAGGAGCCTGCCTCAGGCTGACTCATTTGGGAGAATTTCAGATGCAATGCTTCAGCCGTTTCCAGGAACAAGACTAGGGAAAAAATCTTGTTTTGCCATGTTAAATTCTGGAAGTCTTTTTTTTTTTTTTCTTAAGATTATCTAGCACCCCCTTGCGTTGAGCAAGAACCTGGAATTTGATATGGGGTGACCTTTGTGTCAGGGATCTAAATTCCCCAAAGATTCCATTTGTACTGAGAATGCACCAGCCCCGGGCTAAAAGCAGGGCCTTCCCTGCAATTGCATCTAAGGACTGCTGTGAGCCATTCCAGGTCTAAACACCAGAACTAAGAGCAAGAAACCTGTCTCTCTTGTGTTTTCAATGATCTCCCGCACCAGGCTGAGGCAGCATGAGGGAGGAAGCTGTCTGATTTGAACAGAGGGGACAAGAGCTGGATCTGCAGGGAGGGATGGGGAGTACATTGGGACAAGCAACCCGGGAGGGGGAAACTGGGACTTGCTGGGCTAAGTGATGGATCTGGGAGCCAGCAGAGAAGTGGAGGGGGGGAACTGAGATTAGATGAGGAGTGGGGGGGACACTGGTAGTGGATGGGCAAGAAGACTAGAACAGAGAACCCGTGAGGTGGAGAAAGGAGGGGGGGAGGGAAAAGAGATTTGACAAGGAGCCAGGGTGCATAGGGAGAACTGGGACTGGCTGGGCAAAGAGACATGGACAAGGAATTGATGGGAAGAGGGTGATCACCCAATATTGGACAGGGAACATGGATGGATCGGGGAGAGAGACAAATCAGAAGGGGAGCCAAGAGGTGGGGAACTGGGTGGGCAAGACGACTGGGGACAAAGAGATGAGAGTTGCGGGGAAGGGACGGGGAATGGCTAAGGAGAGTGGGACTGAGATGGGGGACTGTGGGATAAGGAGTACATACTATCAGCTCAGTGTGTCAATTAAAACACTGAGCATGTGTGAAAGACAGCAGACTTCACTCACAAGTCAGGTAAATGTACAAGACAAACCCCAATAAGAACACAAGCAATTAAAGACAAAAACGCAAATTCGATTATCTACCTTCTCCTTGCATCAATAATTTGTACTTTGCAGAAAATTTTAACTATCAGGATTCTCCTCCCACCTCACTATAGAAGGAAAGAATATGGATAACAATACCGTTATCAAACTGACAAAAAACAGTTATAAAAAATATGGCAAGGCAAATGATAATCAATTCTAATTAAATCAGAAATAAACCGGCCTGAAAAGCAGCCTTTTAAATGGTCATAAACATACACCAGGCCAAGCTCAAACATTTACTAAACTAATGGTTTTACCCACTCAACAAAATAAGTTACTTGCTGTTGCTGACTGGGTGGATATGATTTTACAAAGGTGCTGAACAGACACGTTTAAAAATAAATAAAATCTTTAATCTTTACTGGTAAATCCAAGAAATATGGCTGGCAATGAGAAATTATGGCCTCTGTCCACTAGATGGCAACAAAGAAGTTAATTTACACTCCAAATTAGGGACCATTCAGGATTTCCATGGGATGAAGGCAAACAATCATAGCAAAAAAAGTTTATTCTTTGTGTTTCCATGGTAAGAGAATATATTACAGGCTCCAATTCCACCCCTCAGAGAGAAAACAGTCAGGGAACGGCAAATAGTCCTTCACTCAACAATTAATTCGTTGCACTTTGTGTTGTACATTTAGCTGACTTGTGCATGATGATCATCACCACACTCCTGCGCAATAAGTATTATACTACAGAGGGGGAAAGACTCTCACTGAGTGTCTACTACCTAGGGTCTCTCACTGAGTCAGTGGCAGAGATGGGAAGAGAACCTAGATCTCCTGGTACCTTGTCCCCCGTCCATAAGTATTTCAGTGGTGGCTACAGGTACATAATGTTTTGAAAAAGAAACCTACAGTATTGAGTTTTTTGTTCCTTTTTTCACAAATAAAAAGTTGGAAACAAATACCAATGCAGCTCCACTGGCTCTCACTAGATCTTGTTTAAAGTTAGTTCCCTTTTAGATTTTTAAAAATTAGATTTTTCCTCCACTTACCTTCTCCCCAGAGATGGTAATTGAGGTCCCCCAGGCTATATGTCATTGCACTGCAGTTATTATAGGTTGATGAAGCAAGGGAATACTGAAATGTTTATCTATGTTTATCTATTGCAAATGGTTGCTACTCCTCTTTACAAATAACCAATTGCTATTTAACACACAGGCCAGATTCTGTCATCCTTACTCACATTGAGTAGTACTCTTCTCCACAGTGGTCCCATCTGCATCACTGAGATTACTTAAGGACCAAGGTGCTACTCAACAAGGGAGGGGAAGAGTCTGGGCCATAATAATATTATTAAACCTAAGAAAAAAATCCTGTTCTTGAATTTAAATTCACAGTGTTACCCGTAAAGCTAAACAAGTAGAGAGCACCAAAATGGCTCACTTACTCTTTGGGCAAACAGAGTCATCGAAGACTTCATCTTCAGATCCTGAATCTTCTTCATCACTCTCCAAGCTAGACTCATCATCACTCTCTTCATCACTATCCTCCTCTTCATCTGGGAAAGGAAAGCAGTATTGTTAGCATTCAGAAAATCCTGGTTCTAATCTGTGACAGGCCTGCTGTCTGTACAGCACACCAATGGAGCCCTAATGAGCAATACCATACTACTGGCTTTTAAAAGCCAAATACATCATTTAAAGAGCACCACCGATGGAAACCGTGCTTTACCAAGTACTGAGACCATAGTCCTGCAACTGACAGCACGTGGCCAAACTGCTGCACCTGCACAAAGCCCTGTTAAAGTCACAAAGGCTCAGCAGTCCACCCAGACACTGCCAATTTCAGGATCAGGGCTTCAGATCCATTCCAGGCCCTGAAGAGTTTGTAATCTAAGAATGACACAGCAAATAAACCCTTCAAAGTAACTGGAAAGAGCTAGTTTCCCAGAAAGGTGGTGATTATATATTTTGAACAAGACAAAATGGTGACTGGCTCCTGCTCAAGGATTCTAGTTTCCCTGTTAGATACATTGATCTCACTAGCATAAGCCCAGACTGGTACAGTATCTCTCATTTATATACAGTATATTACCTGTACAAAAAGTTGTCCTATTAAAGAAATGTATACTGAATTGAAAGCACTCAGCGGAAGTTAATTCATGCTGGCATTTACACACAGCAGGTATCAGGCAAGGGAAAAGGTGACAGTATCTTGTATTATAGAGTTACAGTAGGGACCCTAGAATTATAGATGAAGATGGATTTTCATTCTTATAAACTATTTAAGGCTGCTTAAAACCTTTTGTAAAATGACTCTTTGGACTGAATTTTCTTATACTTGTACACAACCCATGGGTGAATTTTTGGGAAACTGGTAAAATGTCATTTGGCTGGTTATTTCTGAGCTATCAGAAGACAGACAGAAAAAAGTATTCTGTTGTAAGAAATGTCAGGTTGGTTTCTTTTCACTCAGATCAGTGACTCAAATAGTTTTATTTTTAAAGTTCATACCTGGCATGGAAAGGTCACTTACAGCAATAGGTGTTCTTCTGGTATGTTATTTTTGCAGATCCCTTCTTATGAGATGGGAGAACAGTGCCCATTGAGTCTGAGTGAACACATCCCCCAACAATTCAAATGTTCTGAAAGATGTTAGCAAAGGGACATGTGGGCCCAACCACCTTCAGTCCCTTCCACTAATTCAATGAATCCACAGGACAAAGAAGTGGGGAAAGGAATTAACAGATATTGGTACATGCACAGTTAAATAAAGGTACCTTCTTTCTTTCTTTTTTGCATTCCTTAATGTATATATCCTTTTTTTAAATGTATTATCGTTATTCTGAATTGAAACCTTGGGGTTCAGTCATCGTGTGCGTTACCATTCTGCTGAGGAAATTAACTAACTAAAAAGGTGAACTGTGTGTCGTTATTGCCTACATTTGCTGCCAGTTCATACTGTACATGATCACCTCCTAGAAACCAAATGCCAAATCAAAGATAAAGAAGAAATATTTCAGATCAATAGTACTGTCTAGTATTAAACAGTTCAGAGCCTATCTGCTGAGAAAAATGCAATACACTGAGGTCTTGGAATTGATCTATTAATTGACTAATGGATGATTACAGGTTGGGTCTATGATTACTAGGGTTGCCGACCCTCCAGGACTGTCCTGGAGTCTCCAGGAATTAAAAATTAATCTTTAATTAAAGACTGTCATGTGATGAAACCTCCAGGAATACATCCAACCAGAATTGGCGACCCTAATGATTACTCATTAGTCAACGGATAGATTGAAAGGGAAATTTAGTGTACACAGACGCCAGACTGACAGCTGTCCACAGATCAGGTACAGCATAGGCAGCAGCTGTATAAAACTCCCTTTTTCCACTCAACACCTACATGCCTCAACACTGATTTGAAGGAACCAACTTTTAAGGTCTTTTGACATTACACATACAATTGTGCAAGGGATGTGGTTACAACACTATTATCCCTCATGATGGTTACAGAACAGTTTGGTCTTGTAGTATAGATTGGACCTAATCATATGTTTTGTTTATGACCTGGAACCAGGTTAAAGCCTCATATCTGCCCAGGGCTTCAGCCAAGTTTTGGGACACAGTTCAGTGCCATCTCTACATTACAAGGCTGAATTGTGTAAACAAATACATAACCCTAGAGAAACAATGCATCCAACCTCTGTCTCCTTCCACATCTTTCTTCTTAACACGCTTGATCTTCTTCTTCAGAACCTTAGTGAGGAAGCTGGCAAATTTGTTGTTCTCTCCAAGGGATGCTTGGAAAGTGGCATAAAGTGCCTTCTCGCGTTCCTGAAGCTTTGCAATCTCATATTTTTTATCCTCCATCTGTGAAAGGTAGTTGTCTAATTTCCACTAAAAAAACAAAAACAACCCCCCCCCCAATGTAAAACAACTCAGTACATTAGACTGATAGAGAGCTGTGAAGCATTAGCCTTTTACACTGTTGTCAGCACCTGTTAGATCTTTTTAGCATATATGTAAAGGCAGCAATTCCTAGTAGTGAGAAAGGGATTGGTGGTTGGGCTCTCTGCTTTCTATTCCCAATTCTCTGCCAATCACTTGCTGTGTGATGCTGGACAAGTCACTTCCCTTCTCTGTGCTTCAGTTTCATCATCAGTAAAATGAGGATAATGATACTGACCCACTTTATAGTGAAATCTACTATATAAATGCTAATTATTATAATTTATGCATTTCAGTTGTTGAATTAAGAGCAATTTATCTGTCTAAAGAGAGAGACAGACAGACTTGTTGAAATTGGTCGGCTTGAAATTTGATTTACATTTTTTTTCTTCTTCCCTAATCTGTGCCCCAGTCCAGCAAAGCACATAAGCATCTGTTTAACTTAAAGAACATGGTTCCACTGACATCAATTCTTCAGTTAACCAAGTTCCAAGTGCAGAGGCAAATTCTCTGTGAAGTTACACTTGTGTTACCCATTTGAAAAAGGAAAGGGTGACACAGATGTAACCCTGGGCAGAATTTGGCCTGAAGAATCTGTTACTGAAGATGCATGAGCCAGAAAGATCCCAGTTTGAATCTCAGATCTCAGGATGAGTTAGTAGGCCTTGGAGTTTGCAAAATCACCTTTATATCTGTAAAGAAAGCAAATCTGATCTGCCGTCACTGAGATGCAATAAAGGTGGAGCCCCATGATGCTATTTTTACAGTCACCTTCCAAAGGAGAACTGCATATTTTAAGGTAGGCTGTAGATTTTAATTTCACACTTCCAATGGTTTATAAAAATACAAGCATGAAGGGAAAGAAGAATCCATATTTAAGTTAAAAGGACTGCCCTTATATTATCACCAAATGTTTCTTAGAATTCAGCACTAAGAAGTTGGCTGGTGCATAAGGACAGCAGAATGACATTCCCGCCTCTTTTTGAGATGTTTATTTCCAGGCTCACCAGTTGCAGTAGTAACAAATCAGATGCGTATCCTACATACTTGCATCTCTTCCACCTCATTGGTGAGGCTGTTGACACGCTCCTGGAGAGTGTCCTCATGTTTCTCAAAGTTCTTAAGGAGAAGCAGCTCCTCAAACCACGTGATGTGACGTAGGTCAGCACACTTCATCTGCGTGTCCAGCTTCAGCTTCTGGTGCCGCAGGAGGTGGAGCTCAGCATCAAAGGTGATCACCAGTTCATTGATCTGGAATGTGGGAAGGGGCAGAAGTGGAGTGGGGAAAAAAATCACGAAGTGAATCTAAATATGCAAGGCAAGAGACAGGAGCAAAAAAGAAAAATCTCCTGCCTGTTAAACCAACAACTTGCCAGCAACATTTATTATGAGCTACTTTGGTATTCAGGATAACAACATTAATCCCTGGGAATGTTTTTGATATCCATGGAGCAAATATAAGAATCACCAGAAATTCCACAGATGTTTCGATGCCTCCCATCATCCCCAATTAATCTCCAATTAATCACTTTTCTATGCTGGCCTACACTTTCATGTAATCTCCTGCCTGCTGCAGTGGTAGACTCATGTTACTGACCTCCACCTCATCCACCCTCTTGCAGAATATCTGCCAACTTCTTCCTTGGGCAGGTACAACAGTTTCAGCATCAGTACCTGCCAAAACTAGATTAATCACGGGTTTTCTTTCAGAGGCAAGGTAATACCCACAATGGTGTTCTAGTGCTCTCTCTGAAGTTTAACGCATCAGCTCTACAGTTTGTTCTAGTGGACTCTCCTGGACTTCCAGAAGGCAATCAATGCAAAAGCCAAAAGATGCCACAGCATCAGTGGGACAGATGTAAAGAGAGGTCTGTGAACTGGTTTTGTTTTGGGCATGGTAGGGGCAGTCCCCTGAAAACTTGAAAAGTTCCCTTTTATTCTCCTACCCTCTTGATCAAGGTCTCCTGAAGGTAAATGTTTCTGATCTTCTCCCGTTTTAAAATTTCCAGCTCCATCTCCGTTGGCTCTGACTTTTCAATCTCAAAAACCTTTGGTTGCATTGGGATGACTGAGGATCCTATTCTCATTGATCTCACACTTGAGGCTCTTGAGGAGGAGTCTATTTCTTTTAGAGAAGGTGCATGAAGGAACTTTCCCCCAAACACTGTAAATGATGCATTCTCTTCCACCTGCTCAGAGAGCCTTTTCTTGTTCTCCTCCTCTTGTTTGAACTTCAAGAGAATATTATTGTCATACTGGAATTTTTTTTCTGGAGTCTCCTCCAGGTGTAACTGAGGGATCGGGGGAATAGGAAGTTGTTCAGATGCATCCAAGGCTGATTTTATGGATTTCAGTTCTTGGACCAGGCAGATGATCTCTTCAATAACAGCCACCTTGAGGTCCCTAAGGGAGATGATCCATTTGTTCATGGTCAATTTCTTTTCATGGATCTGCAAAGAGGAGGAATTTTAGTGTGACTTGCCAAGGACAGTTCTACAGCATAAAATCTTCTCTGACACAGGACACTGATCAGTGGTTTGTCTAACTTAAACAATCCTGAAGGGTTTAAATGCTTAACACAATAGATATAGAGAGGTTACTTATCAGTAACTGTTGTTCTTCAAGTGTGTCACCTCTGCATAGTCACACTTATGGGATTAGCACCTCCTGGTACTAAATTGTGGAATCTTTCTAGTGAGCAGGATCTGTTGGGGACACTCACACTCTTTCCCATGCAGAAGATTCCGTGGGCATCAAAGGAGGAGTGGGGCCCCAACCACACTTCAGTTCCTTCCAGAGGTGGCAGAAGTTCACGTTAAATGGGGGGGGGTGGGCAAATTGTGGGGACAGCAGAACAGAAGGAAGAAATTGGGGTCTCTCTCTCACCAGCAATAACTGCTCCTGGGCCTGGTCCTATCACCCCATTTCTACATGCTTCCGCGCCTGATCCCAGGTGCCACAACAGCTGTTCCAGTTTCTCTTGGTCCTGGTCTCATCTCCGCCCCCAGCAGCTGCAGAGCCCCACCCAGCCTGAGCAGCTGCACAGTTTACGAAATGCTAATCTATGTTTCTGCAGAGGCAGAAACATAAATCAGCTCCCACAATATTTCAGTTGCAGGGGACCTAGCCCCCACCACTGTCCTGGTTCTGCTGCTCTTGGTTTCTTCCCTAATTTCAGAGTGCTTGATCTGAGAAGAGGGTTAGGTGGACAGGGAATGTAAACATGCAGAGGCACCACTCTCAAAGAACAATAGTTACAGGTAAGCAACCTCCTTTCTTCTTTGAGTGGCTTCTGTATATTCCCACTCATCAGAGATTAGAGAGATTAACAAATTAAGTTTTCCCACGGGAATCCTCACTATATGAGCACTCAGGTTCAAGTACATTTAAAACAATTTTAGGCATCTGTGCCTGAAACAAAGTTACCTGCTAAATCCACCAGAGGATGAAAACCCAAAATCTTCCTAACACTGCAGCAGAATAGGTTCCAGGACTAAAGCATAAGACTACAAGTGGCACCAAAGGGCCCAATCTGATTATAACCAAGACCTTTGGTGCCAAGGCAGGGTGATTCCAGGAGTGGCTGCCAAAATTTCTCTCTCTCTCTCCCTGTATTGCTTCCCTGAAGTTTGGAGGATGTTAATGTGCAGTTGAGTCAATAACAACCTTGGACATTTTCAAAGTCAGAGCATCAGCACCAGATTAGAAGTCTTAGTTATTTTCAGAGACAATAGTGGTGTAGCACTGAATGAGACTCAGTAGGTACCAGAGCTATCTCCGTCTGGGCCTGGGAAGGCGTTTCCAAGGTTTTAGAGTACAGAGAATGTCTCTGCACTCTAGGACATCTTGGTTAGGGAACCCAAAGGAAGGGGTCATTACCCAATAAAGGGAGTTTGAGGTCCTACTCAGAACCCCAGCCTGGAAACATGGACTGTTCTACTGATTTTATCTGGAGGAATTCCCACACAAAGAATGCCAGAGCCTCATCTGATTATCCTGGAGATCTGGGTATTGCTGACCCTGGGTACTAATCTACTTTGACAAGTGGCTTACCCAAGGAAATGGTGCTCGATCCTTGCCACCAAGCTATATTGGCTCAGTTGGATCCATGTATCCTAAGCCACTTGAGTTGGGTACAAAATCACTTCAACTAAGGTTGACCTTAGCGCCAGGTACATTGTACACCAAGCCACTTAAAGCAAGTGGCTCACCAGTGTCAATTGCGCTGGATCCTCAGCACTAGACCTGGTCAACCCAGAAGGATCCAGAGATCTAACACCTCTTATACTGGTGCTTGACCACTTCAGGCATGCAGTACACCAGCTAACAGTGCTTAGCACCAGCCTCAGATGACCCAAAGGGGAGAACATAAATGCCATGTACAGTGGGCACCAGACTACATCATCAAGTGGTTCACCAGGATCCATGATACTGGATCCTAAGCACTTTTTTTGGTTAACTGGAATGAATCTATTGATGTCCATGGTGTTAGAACCTTGGTGCTCAACTAGATTGATCTGAAAAGACCTGGGAACCTCAGCAACATAGTGATGATGCCAGGATGCCAGCGCTGAATTCAGTTGATCCAGAAGAATCCAGAAACTGTGGCACTACATCAATTATGTCTGAACCTCAGCAGTAAATTCAGTCAAACGAGGGGGGACCCAAGAGTCTTGATGGTGCACTGATAGTTCTGGAACCTTGGCTCCAATAGGACCCAGAGACTGCAGGATCACATTGACAGTCTGAGGACCTAAGTGCCAAATTAGCTCAGCCTGGAGGAATATAGGGTCCTCCGCATCAGGCTCACTCACTGGGAAAAGATCAGGGAGATGGATGCCACTTAAAGAGGTCACAGAGCCACTTAGGCTAGCAGACGTATAAAATTGATGCTGGACTTACACATTACCAGACTTAGTCGACTGGGCCTGCAGAGTTTCCCCCATCAGCAGGGGTATTTGAGGAAGCCCTCCTGTCCCTGTAGGCCACACAGACAATTCCCAGGCCTGACAGCTACCGTTTTTTCTTGGTTCTTTTAACTTAAGAAGCATGTTTTGACTAACTGCCAGTCTAACTAATTAAGATGAAAAAGCCCCCAAAGGGCAGAAGAAAAGGAAAGAAACCAATGAGGAGAGCCTTGAGGACACTGCACGTGCTCCATGCTCGCTGCACCTTCAGCAGTTAAAAGGAACTGAAGGGCAGGTGGGGCCACACCCCCTTTTATACCCTCAGAATTTTCCACAAGGATGGGAGGGGTGAATAGCCCTAATGGACCATGCTTACTAGAAAGATTCCACAGCTCCATGCCAGGAGGCACTAATCCCACAAATGTCAATATGCAGATGCCACATAAAGAAGAACTGTTAATTCTGTTTTTATAATGGTGCAACATGGTGGGGGAGGGAGTTAGGTCACTGAGTTTCTGGAGAAAGTTTATTAACCTCTGCATGGTAGTGTTTTTGGAATTATGCAAAAGATTGATGTTTCTGTTAAAGGGTGGGGGAAAATTAATATATCTGCTTGGTCAATGAGGGCCATTTGAGGATTATTCTAATGGGTATGGATTGATGTAACCTTGGGCTAGATGAAATACAAAAGCTTGGCAAAATGACCACCAATGTGCAGTTAAAATTGACCACACATGGTCTGTCTTTAGTAGTCCTCCATCCTGTCACTTTCAAAACATTTTGCAATTGCTCATTTTCTAGATAACATTTTTTTCCAAAAAGGGGAATCCATTTACATACCGCCACCTCTAACGACCTAAGCTGCATCTTCTTCTTCTCTGCGTTCATACGCATGTGCTCCGGGATCTTGTAGTTTGTGGCTGTCTTCAGTTTGAAATCCCCCATGTTTTCCTGAGCCTCTTTGATGTCCTGAACATCCTTGGGGTTCTCATAGTTGTCACTGGGTTTGCTCTTGTATCTGCCAAACACCAAAACCAAGCAGAAATTCTAAGGCTGCACAAATCTCCCACTTCTGTGCTTACCTTACGCATTGATAATGCCTGCTTTGTGCAACAAGGCTTGGTAGGAGAGGTAGGTGTCAGTGGAAGACTAAGCACTACTTAGAAGGAAATATCAGTTGTTTGGAAGAGTTTATCTATGTGTTTAGCAGGAATGTCAGAAAGTGATCCATACCTGGGGACGAATGTCTCCTTCAGTTTTGAAGAGAAAAACAAACACACATAGGAAGATGTGATTTTTAAAAACTAAACAAATACATGATGTAGCTCTGCCATTAAGGACAGATTCAAATAAGACCCTTGAATGAGGCTCTGGGCTCGGAGAAGACCCTTGTATAACAGTGAGCAGCATATAGCATTCTATAAAGCTGATTTCAGCTGACAAAACACCCAATGAAGAGGAGACGGCACCACCATCTGTAGTGCCTCCTCTGATTCAATACCTCAAGCCATGTTAAGACCCAAGGAAGGAGTTACATGACTAATTCAACTGATGTGCATAGCACATGCTGCTGACTTTCTCAGAGAGATGGTTCGCAAAGTTCTGCTTGGCTGCAGCATAGAGTACAGGGCCTGATTGTACAGTTCTTATCCAGTCAAATTCTCATTGACTTCAAGACTTTCCAACTCATTGCACTATCTTTCTGCCTCCATTGCTGGCTCCATTCATGCCAGTAAGCTACACATTAAGTTTGAAGAGATTCCTGTTTTCCGTGCATTTTGAAAGACTCTTGTCATTTTCCATTTTAAGAGCAGAACCAGCAGGGAAAGGGAAGGGACAGTGCGACCTGTACGTACACACATGCTAACATAATGTTTATGATGTTAGTGCAAGTGGCTCACCCACACTATCGCTGCTCAAGGGGTTAATCAAGGGCTGACCCAGAAGTCTTGGTGGCCCCAAGCCAAGATGGAATTGGACACCTCCAGCAAGTACTCCCTGCTTCCTTTTCCATCACCTTCCCACCTGTTTGAGCAACCTATCTGGTCACCGATTGTGTCATTTAGCCCTCCTCATTGACATTGCTTTAAAAGAGGAGCCGTGGCAGCCAGCACAAAAGATTCTAAGGTTCACTTGAGATTCAAGGGCACCTGCTGTCCATAACTGACATTTGGAGCTAATTAGTTTTTAAATTGCCCCCTTAGAATAATAGGGAATTATACAAAAATATAACAGTGGCATATAAGAGCTAAGTACAATTTTTTGACCACAGACAAAGGCAGGCCAGTGGAAAGATGCAGTTTGTGATTCAGGACTTACAGTTCATCCCACTCCTTCCTTCTTTGCATAATCTTAGCTTTGGCCCTGTCCGCTTTCTCCATAATTTTTCTAACTTGTTCAAGTCGGTTTCCACCAAAACGTCCTATAGCACCTTGCAGTTGGGGCCTTTTCTTCAGCTTGTCAGCTTCCATCTCCTCTTCAGTAACTCCAGCAGCCTGACCTAAAAAGAATGAAGTGGGTGTGTAAGCATTAGGTATTTTTATGTGACCTAAAAGCAAGTCAAGGCTACTGTAAGCCACACTGGGCCAGCTTCTCAGCTGGTAAAATCAGCATTGCTGCAGTCAATGGTCCTTCGCTCATGCCATATTACCAATCAGTGAAAAAAACTGTGCAACCTTGTGTCCCCTTTGGGTTGATGGGTTTTTGCCAACTTTGACTAGAATGTGGAAAACATCTGGTTCTAAATGGCAGAGGGGAACTGTTGACTGAGAATGCAATGTGGTGACCGAAACAGAACATGAAGATAACTCTGTTACCAGCTTCTGTTGCCAAGTTTCTTTGCTTAAAAGTGATGTGATATACTGCAGTCTCTTCCACTCAAGCTCACAAAAATAAACAAGGTGAGATGAAGGATGGAAAGCACATTATGGTAAACAGAATAGCAGCATTTAGGCCTTTGCATATGTCTTACTTGTCTCTTTCTGGCTTTCTCGCCTTTGCTCTGCTTCTTTTGCTAATTTGCTCGTTCTCCTTTTCCCTCTTTGACTTTGTTTTCTGGCTTTGTAGTACCTCTCGGAGATTGCCAGGAGCCTATATGTAGAGATTTGATGATTACTTCCTATAGCATGAACGACCACTGTGTCAAATTCCAATGTGTCCCGAAACCTAAGGAAACAAAATAGAGATAACATTCATTATTGTCTGATTTCTGCAGTAGCCGTCTATGAAGTATTTTCCTTCTAGCCCATATTGCTGCCCCCAAAAGGCTTAAACAATGTATTATACTAATTAAACGTATTATACAATCATAGTATCTGCAAACATAAAACAACAGGTATCAGTGCTATGACAGAAGTACTGTCCACTGACATCATGAAATCTAGAAATGGAGCCACTCAAGAGTGGGCAGGGAGGAAAAGCTCAGTGGTTTGAGCATTGGCCTGCTAAACTCAGGGCTGTGAGTTCAATCCTTGAGGGGGCCATTTAGGGATCTGGGACAAAAGTGGGAGATTGGCCCTGCTTTGAGCAGGGGGTTGAACTAGATGACCTCCTGAGGTCCCTTCCAACCCTGATATTCTATGATTCTATGTCAACAATACCTCATCCACCAAAATGGTGTCTAAGGCATCTGACAGATCTAGTTGAACCAACATAGATAGTTGATCTGTGTCTAACACCAGAAAAATCACCTAGCAGAGCAATCTCTATATCAAACTCAGGTCTAAAACCAGACTGGACAGGGTCAAGGAAATCTGAGGAGTCCAGGAATCAACAGAATTGCATCACTACAGCATTCTTCCCCACAAAAGGGAGATTCCCAATAGGGTTTTAATTGGTGAGATTCCTCACATCAGGAGATGGTTTATTGAGCAGTGGTCAAACAATCTGTTCTTACGTAATGCTGGTACACTGCCCTCCTAAAAGGAGACAAAGACCATCTCTTCCATAGCAAGCTCAGTTTGTCCCCAGCTGCACTTCACCACACATGAAGGACATGGGTTCACTACACAGTTTATTCCTCAAAGTTCCACCAGCACTTCTAGAACCCCAGCAAATGTCACTGGCTGAAACTCAAACAGAGCTGTTCCCCCAAAACCTGGCTCTGATGCCATGGAGGTGGATAGCACAGTCCTGATTCAGTAATAACCTGATTTGCATATCAGTGCTTGCCTAACTTGTGTATGTTTCAGACCAAATGAGAATATAGTCACAAACAGGACATAGATACACTTTAGTTCTATGAAGAAGATGTTCCCTTCTTGTTCCTCAAGGCAGATGGAACTTAGTTAATGAAAGATCTCAAGGTGGAGGAGGGTGAAAGAAAGCTAGTCCTTACCGACTCTGCAATTTCTGTAGCCCAATGCGGTGCTTCTCCTGATCCCAGGCCAACTCTTTCTGCACTAGTTGGATTCTCTGTGCTGTCTGCCTATCCATCTCCTCACGGATTCTGTGGTCCATCTCAAATTCCTGCAGATAAATGGGAAACTGTGTCATAGCATGCTGAATGCTAGGCTATGACAGTAGCAGTGGTTAGGTTTAAGACATATTTTTGTTCAGACATAGGAGTTGATGTGTATCGACCCAACTGCTCACTCCAGCAGCTGTTCACCACAGTGGAGAGAACCACGTTCTTCCAAAACTCTTCTCTAATGTCACCCAGCACTAGGCTCCTGGCATATTAAAATTTATACACACACACACACCCCTTCTTCCAATCCATCTGAAATTGAAAATCAATGAACTTCAATGCTTCTCCATAGCAGGCATCAAACACAGTGTGCAAGGGCAAACCAAGGCAAATCAGTACTTCCACCCCTTGCTAGCTTTACTACTTTCACTCACTTCAGAGTGGTTCTCTATCATATTTACATTCTCTTCACTGTAGCCTTTAAAGAGTGACTGGAGTCTATCAGTCTTACAGGTACTTCTGAGGCACTAACTTCTGCAGCACACTCAGAAATGCCTGTACCATGGGGAAGCAGTTTACTTAAGGAGCTGGAGTGGGAAGATGGGTTGGTCATATTTTGATTCTAACACACTGGACACAGCTCATTTTAAAGTGGCAGCCTAATCCAGAGATAAAGGACCTATACACCAATCTGATGTGTACCTCTCTGTGTAGCTGCATGTGCTTTGGCAGCTCCATGTTCCTTTGAAGCAGGTGATGAAACTCATGCCTAAGGATGATCAGCTCTTGTCTCTTTTTGTTTTTTTTGTCCCCTGCTGCCTTCATTATCTGGTCATATTCCTTTTTTTGCTTGGCATTCTCAATACTGGAAATGCATGAAAAAGGAAGCAGCATTATCTGGATGGTGGCGGGGAAGAGAGAGAGGAGACACAATAGTGTAGCCTTCTAGCCAGGAACAAACATGGATCATAATTCCGCCCTCATTGATACTCATGCAGCTCCCCTGGAATCAATGAGGCTAAAGAAAAGTAGAATGAAATATTAGACTGTAAGCTTTTGGGTGAAGGGATTATCATTTATTATATGTTTGTACAGTGCCTAGCACCAGGGATCCCTCTGGTTTAGTAGGCCTCTGTCAGGGTTCCTTCCCCACTCTGAACTCTAGGGTACAGATGTGGGGACCTGCATAAAAGACCCCCTAAGCTTATTCTTACCAGCTTAGGTTAAAAACTTCCCCAAGGTACAAAACTTTGCCTTGTCATTGAACAGTATGCTGCCACCACCAAGAGTTTTAAACAAAGAACAGGGAAAGAGACCACTTGGAGACGTCTTCCCCCCAAAATATCCCCCCAAGCCCTACACCCCATTTCCTGGGGAAGGCTTGAGAATAATATCCTAACCAATTTGTTACAAAGAAATCAAAGACCCAAACTTCTGGATATTGGAACAATGGAATAATCAGTCAGGTTCTTAAAAGAAGGATTTTATTTAAAAAAAAGAAAGGTAAAAATCATCTCTGTAAAATCAGGATGGCAAATACTTTACAGGGCATTCAGATTCAAAACACAGAGGATTCCCCTCTGGGCAAAATCTTAAAGTTACAGAAAACAGGAATAAACCTCCCTCTTAACACAGGGAAAATTCACATAAAACAAAAGAGAAACTAATCCACCTTGCCTGGTTTACCTATACTGGTTGCAATATTGCAGACTTGGATTACGATGGGTTGGAAAAGACGGATCTCTGTCTGGCCTCTCTCAGTCCCAAGAGAGAACAACCATGTAAACAAAGAACAGCCTTCCTCCTCCCCAAGATTTGAAAGTATCTTGTCCCCTTATTGGTCCTCTGGGTCAGGTGCCAGCCAGGTTAGCTGAGCTTCTTAACCCTTTACAGGTAACAGGATGTTGCCTCTGGCCAGGAGGGATTTTATAGCACTGTATACGGAAAGGTGGTTACCCTTCCCTTTATATTTATGACAGCCCCTATGTACTATCAGAACATATTGTGACAGGGTCGGGCCAGATGGCTATAGGAAAGTAATTTTTTTTTTTGAAGCAAAAGATTTGCATAACACACTTACAAAGTAAAAACAGCAGCATATGCAATGTGTAACACAGCAACCAATCACAATTGTTTTCTCATTAGCTTCAGGGGAGGGAAGTGTTCAAGCTTGCCTGGGCCCAGAGCTGGGGGCTTCCTCAACTCTCGTGGTCTTCCACCCTTCCGAGTTACCTGGTGGCCCAGAGCGAGGGGGCTTCATCGACTCTCGTGGTCTTCCACCCCTTCGAGTTACCTGGCGCCACGCCCGAGTGTCACCAACAATTCCCTCCTCTGAAAGCACCCAACAAGAGGGGCAGGCTGTGGGGTGGACAATCCAGGGGGGAAGGGGGGAAGGCACGTGCACCCACGTGTGAAAGGACCCCTCTAAGGTGGTGGTGTCCGCAGCATCAATGGCTGGGGCTGGGGTCCCTTACTCTCTCCCCCAGTCAGAGGGTCAGACAAAGGGACCCGGACGGGGACACCGAGCAGAGAACCTTGGACAGTGCCCACCGCTCCTCAAAAGCATCAAGGGAGTCGGTGGACGCCGCCCAGAGGAACTCCGCCCGGATACGTGAACGGACCGAGGATCGGAAAACAGCCCCACAGTCAGAGGAAACTCCATCGGCCAACCTCCTCTCTCTGGTTTTATAGATGGCCGTTTTAGCCAGGGCCAGGAGGAGGTTAACTAGGAGATCCCGCAACTTTGTGAGGCCACGGAAGGGGAGTGCATAAATAAAAAGGTGAGGGGAAAAATGAAACCAAAAACGTAATAGGAGATTTGTGAGGAGCTGGAACAGGGGCTGCAGCCTGGCGCACTCCAAATATACGTGCGCCAGGGTTTCCCTCACACCACAAAAGGGACAAGTATCTGGGACGAGGGTGAACCGCGCCAAGTATGTGCCCGTGCTCACAGCTCCGTGAAGGAGCCGCCAACTGATGTCCCCGACGGGCCTCGGAACCAAGGTGGAATATAGGCTGGCCCACCGGGCCTGCTCACCCTCCAAAGGTGGCAGAAGGTCTCGCCACTTTGTGTTGGGGCAGGACACTAGGGTGAGGACGTGAAGGGTGTGGAGCACAAGCATGTATAGATGTTTCCTTGGCGCGGTTTGGAAGCGTACCGGCTGCAGTTCATGCAGCCAGCTTGCAGTGAAGGGGTGAGGGGGTCGATTGGGTCTGTGGGGCAGGGGTCCAATTAAAAAGGTCCAGTGGGCCTGGGGTAGAGGGTGGGCGGGGCGTGCCCTCGAGCCGGACCCGGTCGAGGTAAGCTTGAGCAGCAGGCGGCAAAGCGGCCTTCACCTCCTGAAGTACGCGCCGGGAGGTGCGAGGTCTGGAGAGCCCCATGTGCCGGGCGAGCATCAGGGGATCCAGCTAGTCTCCCCGGTCATACTCCAGGAGGTCTCTGACCCTTGTGACTTCTGCCAGGATCAAGCTCTGGCGCACCGAGCGGGACTCCGCCACCTGCACACGGAGCTGGGGGTTGTGTAGCAGGGGCTCCGCGAGGAGATCTACCCCCTCGGTGGCCACCACAGACCTGGTCGTTAAAAACAGTTTCCAAGTCTGGAGGGGGTCCTGGTAGAAGACCGGCAGCCCCGAGAGGTCTCGCGGAAGACCTCCCAGACGGAGATAAAAGAGCTGCCGGTCATATCGGAGCCCTTGGATGCGGCGCAGGATGGCGTGCACCAGTGTGCTCCACACCGAACTGCCTGCACAATAGAGGAGCCTCTGTAGGGCCTGGAGGTGGAAGACACGGACCCAAGTGTGTAGACACTTCAGGCCCTGTCCTCCTTCCTTCAGGGGTAGATGAACCACCTCTACAGGGGTCCAGTGCGTTCCTACCAAAAGAACCCCAGAATCGATGTCCGGAGGTTGGTCAGGAAACCCGAGGCTGGGACCAGGGGGTTGAGCCAGTACCAGAGCATGGACAGGACTAGTTGATTAAGCACCAGTGCTCTCCCTCGGAGGGAGAGACATCGGAGTAGTCCCGTCCATTTCCGGAGCCGCTCTATCACCCCGCCCTCTAAATTCACTGGATGGTCTGAAGCGCGGGTAGGAGGGAGCTTGCCTGCTGCCAGTCTCCTACCGCCAAGCCAGAGCTCTTGACCCAGTTGACCTGGACGGAGGAGGCTGCCGAATAGATGGCCTGGCAAGCCTCCACCCGTGCCAAGTCGCCGGGGTCCTGGATCACGAGGAGCACTTCATCAGCGTACGCTGACAGGACCAGCTGCAGCTCTGGCTCCCGCAGCACCAACCCTGTCAACTTCCTGCGGAGGAGACAGAGGAAGGATTTGATCGCCAGAGTGTACAGTTGGCCCGAGAGGGGGCACCCCTGCTGTACTCCTCGCCCGAAGCTGACCGGTTCGGTCAGGGTCCAGTTGAGCTTAACCAGACACTCTGCAGAAGTGTACAGCACCCGGAGAAAACCCACAAACTGGGGTCCGAAGCCAAATGCCTGCAGAGTGCTCAGGAGGTACCCGTGGTCCACCCTATCGAACGCCTTCTCCTGATCTAGGGACAGGAGAGCGAACGACAGACCGTCTCTACGCCCGAGTTCCAAAAGGTCCCAAACCATAAATAGGTTATCAAAGATACTGCAGTCCGGGACAGTGTAGGTCTGGTCTGGGTGGATCACGTCCGCCAGCACAGTCCCTAGCCGCAGCGAGATTGCTTTCGCTACGATTTTGTAGTCCGTGCTGAGGAGCGAGACGGGATGCCAATTTCATAAATCGCGGTGGTCCCCCTTCTTTGGCAAGAAGGCGAGCACAGCTCGCCTGCACGAAAGAGGGAGGACCCCGCTCTGCAGAGACTTGGCCCAGACGGTGACTAGGTCTGGGCTGAGGATGTCCCAAAACACGCGGTAGAACTCCACGGTCAGCCCGTCCATGCCTGGAGACTTATTAGTGGGCATAAGACGGAGGGCTTCCGAGAACTCGGCCAGAGTGAGAGGCAATTCTAGCCAATCTCGGTTGCTCGCGCTGACCATAGGGAGCTCCTCCCAAAGCACTCTGCAAGCGCTAGGGTCGGTCGGATCCAGGGATCCGTGAGGGGGGTGCCATCTTCTGCCAGGAGGCAGGTGACGTATTTCTTAGCCCCCCTCATTTTCTCCAGGGCATAGAAGAAGCGGGAGCCACGATCCATCTCCCAAAGGAGGCAGATGCGGGATCGAACAAAGGCGCCCTGGGACCGATGGTCCTCGAGGGCCCAGAGCTCCTCCCGCTTCTCCCGGCACGCTCCGCAAGAGGAGCGGGTCTTCGGGGCTGGCGGCCAAACGCCTCTCCAGCTCTAAGACCTCCCATTCCAACTGCTCTATCGCCACATTTCTCTGTCGGCTGGTGCCCCGGGTGTAGTCGCGGCAGAAAAGCCGGGCGCGCACCTTCCCCAGGTCCCTCCATCGCCGCGCCGAGGGAAAGGCACGCCGCTGCCCTCACCAGGCCAGCCAGAATTCCCGGAAGGACGTCACGAAGCCTTCATCCTCCAACAGGCTGTTGTTAAAATGCCAATTGGCTGGTCCCGGCCTCTCCGCACAGAGGGAGGCTGTCATGGTGGCTAGATGATGGTCAGAAAATGGGGCCAGCCGAATGCTGGAGGAGTGGGCTCATGAGAGATGGAAGCGTGATAAATAAATGCGGTCCAACCGGGAGTGGCTCGACTGATGGGCTTCCACCCGGACAATGGTGAACGTGGAAGTGTCATCCGGGTGGTGGTCACACCGGATGTCCACTAGGGAGTGATGTTCAACGGTGTCCACGGCGGCCGGGCTCTGCTCGGTCCCCGAGTGGTCTCGCTCCTCGAGGGTGGTATTAAAATCCCCTCCCAGGACCAGGCACTCGTGAGAATCTAAGGTGCCGAGGAAGGCGGACACCTGCTCATAAAATTGCAGCCACTCCGGGCCCGATGTCGGGGCATAGACGTTAATGAGGTTAACCACGAGCCCCTCTATATGGGCCCAGAGATGCAGCAGGCGACCCAGCACCGCCTCGGCAACCCCTAGCACCTCGGGCCGTAGGTCGGGGGAGAACAGGGTCGCCACTCCAGCCTGCCGAATCGTGGAATGGCTAAAGTAGACCCTGTCCCCCCACTCCAGCCACCAACTGTCTTCGGCGGTCAGATCCATATGGGTCTCCTGCAGGAAAATCACAGAGTACCCTCCCTCCCGAAGGAAGGAGAGCACCTGGGACCTGCAGAGAGCCATCCTACAACCCAGGGTGTTCAACGTTGCGATGGTGAGAGGTGTCATGGGGGGGGGCCGGGGTGGGATCCTCACTGGCAGGGACACTCGCATCCCCCAGTGGGCCGCGCAACAGTCCTTGACCCATCCCGTAGGTGAGTAATTGGTCACGGAAGACGCGGACCCGCCAGTAGGCCGCGGCATCCTGCTTCCCCAACCCTTTACCTTCCCCCATGAGGGCCTTTATGGCCCGGAGGATTTGAAAAAAATCCCCCCATCGCTGGAGAGCAAGCTGTACCTTGTTGCAGGAGCCACGGACATCCTCTAAAAACTTCCACAGCTCTCCTCGCAGCTCATGGGGGGGTGGGGTTACGGTTTCCCGGTTGTTCCCCGGTGGGGCCCTTGGTGCAGCCCCGTGGTCCACTAAAACGGACAAGCAGGGTGCGGACCCCCGACAGGGTGCCTGATGGGCTGGAGCTTCTAGGCCCGCCTCAAGCTCTGGGGCGATGGGGGCGGTGGAGGGAAGATAGCAGCTCCTAATGGGTCGGGGCAGGAGAACACAAAGGCCGCTCCCTGGGGGTCATCAGTTGAGAAAGGGAAGGAGACAGCCCCGGTGGCGGCAATAACATTGCAGGAGGTAAATTTGATAGGGGTAGGGGCAGTGGCAGAGGCGAGGTTCTGGGTTTCGGGAGGCAAGCAGCTGGATAGTGGCGCCTCCCAATCAGACTCGAGGGTTAAGGGGGTGGGGAGGGAGCTCTCAGTGATACCGGGCGCGGGCTCTATGGTGGATTTAGCGGCCACAGCATCACGAGGTGGATTATCTTCTGTTGGGCCCCCGCCCGGGAACGAAATCGATTGCTCCGCACCAACAGGGGGTGCCCCTGGCGACGCGTGTCCCGGCCGCGTGGTGCCAGCTGTCACCTGAGCAGGCTCGGTGGTCGTCAGCGGGGTGCCATCAGCGGCCGGGTCGACGGAGGAGTCCAGGGTCTCCTCGGAGGTGGGAGCAGAAGCAGCAGTTAGGGGGAGGGAGCATGGGGAAGAGAGAGGTGGAGTGAGGTCGCCCAAATCGAGGTTTGCTGGCAAAAGGTCATCCTCCCCCTGGGCGACTGGGGTCAGATCTAGGGCCTCGATCTCCTCGAACATGGAGGAGAGGATACTTTCCGTCGCCTCGGGGTTCTCCCCACTGGCACCCGCCACGACAGTTGCCTCGGGGTTCACGGGGGCTTCGGGTAGTGTCAGGACAGAAGGGGCTTCCTCGAGGGTCTCAGAGGGGAGACACTACCTTCCGGTGCTACCACGTCTTTCCCGGCTGACACCGGTGGATGGGACACACTCGTGGGCAAAGTGGAAGGTTCGGCATCGGTGCCCCCCTTCCTGGTCTTCCAGGGGGCCTCCGCCTCGGGTAGATGAGGCGGAGCTCGAGCCTTCCACTTGCCTCGCTTCCCCTGGACTAGGGCCCAACCCTCCATGGCATCATCTGGGGGCTGGTTAGCAGGGGTCTTGTCAGGGGGTAAAGGCAATGGCTCAGGGACTTTTGGGGGGGACGGTGGGGGGGCATAAGGGAGGGAGGATTTTCCCTGGGGCAGGCTCTCTCCCATGCCTGGTGGTATCTCTGCCACACCCTCCTCCATAGGCCCCGCCAGATTGTCAAAAGCGAGGGCGGGGCTCTCCCGCTCGTCTGGACGTTGTAGGGGAGGTGCCCCTTGGGCCTGAGCGGGAGAAGTAGTGGTCCGAAGAGGAGGGGGGGCAGGTTCGGGTATCGGACGGCGAGGGGCGTCGGCAATGACGGGGCCGATGTCCTGCCGGGTCTCGGGGATCCCAGATGCCCCTCCTTGCCGGGCTAAGGGGCAGTCCCTCCGGACATGGCCTGATGCCCGGCAGAGGTAGCACCGGGCTTCCCCCGTGGAGAAATACACCCGGTAATGGGCCCCCTGGTGCGGGACGAGGAAGGACCCCTCGAGCGCCTCTCCAACACGCGCCGCCGACGGCAGTAGAAGCTGCACTTGCCAGCGAAAGGAAAAGATGTGACGGAGGGTGGGGTCCTTGCAGCCTAACGGGAGAGGGCTGATGACAGAAACAGGTTTCCCCAGGGTGGAAAGGGTGGGTAACAGGCCAGCATTGGGGAGAAAAGGAGGGACAGAGGTCAGAACCAGGCGGACGCCCAGGTCCTCTAGCGGCTCTAGGGGGACAAACACACCCCCCCCACCGCCAGGCCCCTCTCCACCGCCTCCTGGGCGGCAGCCTCCGATGCTAAGAAGAAAACAACCTTCCCATACATTTTGGAGGCCATCACAAAGGCCGAGGGCCCCACCACCCTCGCCAACGCCCGCATGTAGGTCTCCACGTGGGGTGAGGTGGGCACCAGGAGGCATCGGACACCGTGCTTCCTTGTCACGGTGGGGAAGGGGCCCTGGCCGCTGTTGATGATGGCGGAGGCGGTGGGCGGGAGAGATGACGAGGCGCCGTCCTGGGAGGTGAGGGAGGGACACCCGCAGAGCTGGTGAAGGGGGCAGCAGGGAGGGACACAGTGGACAGTGGCGGGGCCGCAGCAGTGGGGGTGGCCCTTGCAACGGAGGGCCTGGTGGTTTTAGCGGGGCCCTTCCCCTTCTTCTTGCCCTGGCCTTTCCCGCTGGCTGGGGGGGCTCCCCTAGAGTCTGGGAAGGCGGTGGGCATGGCAGCAGCAGAGGTCACCCCGGTGCCCTCCATTGCCAATGCCCCAGCGGGGGCGGTGGCAGGTGGTTAACAGGAGTTGGGGTCAGGTAAAAAAGGACAGGCTGTGGGATGGGCAGTTCGGGGGGCGGGGACACATGAACCACCATACACTTGTCCAGAGAGTCCTGTTTGGTTGGCTGGTGCTTCTGGCCCACACGGTGGAATCAGGGCGAGCAGCTAAGTCCAGAGGCAGATGTTAAACAGCCAGCAATGACGGTGGAGGAGGCAGTTGTGAAGATGGTAGTGTGGGGGTTGGGAGGACACAGATGGATCGGGGGGCAGCTCCGTGCCACACCCCCTGTGTCCCTACAAACACAGTCACGACACAGTCAAGGCCTCCCCCCACACGAGAGCACAGTTCCAAAGTTACTCAGTCTTGGGCCCCCTCCACGGCGATTTGTAAGTTTCCTGGATGGTGTTCCTCCGGTAGACGGCTGTTTCTCTGTCTGTTCCGGGTTTTCTTTTTTGCATTCCAGAAATGCCGAAGCAAGTGATAAGATTCCTCTCAACTGGAGACGGGTCAGCAGACAAACAGCAAGCGCCTGGGTCTGGGGGCTGGGTCCTTCCACTCCCACCCTCCGGGGAAGTGGGCCAGCAGGCTCCCCCTCTCTCAGGGGGGGTTTCAGCTGGAGCAGCAGCAGCGTCCAAGGGTGGGCAGGCCGGGGGGGCGGGAGGGCTAACAGCCGGCCGGCAGCCGGCCAGCACTCTAGCAACAGTGGAGAAAGAAAAAAAAACAACAAAAGGAAAAGAAAGGGGGGGAAAAGCATCTGGCCTGGCTGGGGGGGGAAGCTGAAAGCACAGGCAAAAAGCCAGGAAAGCCCAGGCCAGAGGGCTGCAGCAGGAGAGCAAGCTAAGTAGGTCCCTTTTCCCTGGGTAAGGTAACAGAGAAGGTTTCAGAACAATCAGGAACCTTCTGGAGACAATTAAGACAGGCTGATTAGAACACCTGCAGCCAATCAAGAAGCTGCTAGAATCAATTAAGGCAGGCTAATCAGGGCACCTGGGTTTTAAAAAGGAGCTCACTTCAGTTTGTGGTGTGCATGTGAGGAGCTGGGAGCAAGAGGCACTAGGAGCTGAGAGTGAGAACGCGGACTGTTGGAGGTGTACAAGCATTATCAGACATCAGGAGGAAGGTCCTATGGGGAGGATAAAGGTGGGAGGAGGCCATGGGGAAGTAGCCCAGGGAGTTGTAGCTGTCACACAGCTGTTCCAGGAGGCACTCAAGACAGCTGCATTCCACAGGGCCCTGGGCTGGAACCTGGAGTAGAGGGCGGGCCCAGGTTCCCCCCAAATCCTCCCAACTCCTGGTCAGACACAGGAGTAGTTGACCTGGACTGTGGATTCAGAAAAACGGCCAAGCTGAGGGCTGCCGTGAAGCTCTAAGGTGAGCAAATCTGCCAATAAGCGCAAGACCCACCAAGGTAGAGCAGGAACTTTGTCACAATATATGTTAAATAATGATGTCAGAACATCATGCTACAAAAACAGGTGGATGAGATAGATGTCTGCATAAAGGCTGCACAGGCATCGAAGGCTCCGTGTGTCTTGAGACAATAGCCCAACTTTGGAGTGAGCTACTGCCTTCTCTAAAAAGGCAAAACAGCTGGGCCACATGACCTGGAGGCAGAGCTACCAGCAAGCGCAGCCTTTCTCACTTTCATCAAGCATGCCTTACCTGTAGGCACTAGGATCCTCAATATCTTCTGCAGTTTTCTCCTTTTCAAGATCTCCCTGTGAAGCAAAAATATAATCTTTGTGTAAACAAAGAATGACACTCAACGGCTCATGAGGCTGTTCCACAAATTAAGGAAGAACCCCACACTGCTGCTCACAAATCAAGTGATGTTTGTAAAGCCAGATGAAACCTTAATGATGAATGACACTACAGGGTCACTAAATATCAGGTTCTAATGGTTCCTAGGCAAAAAGGGGCAACTGCAATACTTACCAATGAACATATGGGGCCAAACTGATCCATGATGTAACTCAATTAACTTCAGTGGATTTGAGTTTGGCCCACGATGAATCCCATTTATGTCTAAAGGTAGCTACAAAATTTGAAAACTCTTCCATGTGACTAAAACTAGAATAGACACTCCCTGAAGAGTTACTTTGATAAGAAATAGCACTTTTAAGATGGACATAAAGCAATGCTGTCAACCTAGACTATGGAAATGATGTTGCACCTAATTCTGTTACTAAGTGCAGCTGCTAACATCATGTCCCAGGAGCAGATCATGATTGCAAGAGCATCCCCTCGTCAGCGCTTGAGGGATAACTCAGTGGTTTGAGCATTGGCCTGCTAAACCCAGGGTTGTGAATTCAATCCTTGAGGGGGCCATTTAGGGATCTGGGTCAAAAATTGGGGAATGGTCCTGCTGCAAGCAGGGGGTTGGACTAGATGACCTCCTGAGGTCCCTTCCAACCCTAACCTTCTATGATTCTATGTTGTCAAGGTTCCTCCCCACTCTGAGCTCTAGGGTACAGATGTGGGGACCTGCATGAAAACCTCCTAAGCTTACTTTCACCAGCTTAGGTTAAAACTTCCCCAAGGTACAAATTAATTTTATCCTTTGACCCTGGATCTCCACTGCCACCACCAAACTCTAACTGGGTTTACTGGGAAACGTAGTTGGACACGTCTTCCCCCCCAAAATCCTCCCAACCCTTGCACCCCACTTCCTGGGGAAGGTTTGGTAAAAATCCTCACCAATTTGCACAGGTGACCACAGACCCAAACCTTGGATCTGAGAACAATGAAAAAGCATTCAGTTTTCTTACAAGAAGACTTTTAATAGAAGTAAAGAAATCACCTCTGTAAAATCAGGATGGTAGATACCTTACAGGGTAATTAGATTCAAAACATAGAGAATCCCTCTAGGCAAATCCTTAAGTTACAAAAAAAGACACACAGACAGGAATAGTCATTCTATTCAGCACAGTTCTTTTCTCAGCCATTTAAAGAAATCATAATTAACACATACCTAGCTAGATTACTTACTAAAGTTCTAAGACTCCATTCCTGGTCTATCCCCAGCAAAAGCAGCATACAAACAGACACAAACCCTTTGTTTCTCTCCCTCCTCCCAGCTTTTGAAAGTATCTTGTCTCCTCATTGGTCATTTTGGTCAGGTGCCAGCGAGGTTACCTTTAGCTTCTTAACCCTTTACAGGTGAGAGGATTTTTCCTCTGGCCAGGAGGGATTTTAAAGGGGTTTACCCTTCCCTTTATATTTATGACAGATGTTATAAAGATCATTAGAGCCCTGCAAATCCACGGGTATCCACTTTATATCCGTGGACCATTTCTGCGGATAGCAGTGTGGATGCAGATACAAATTTTGTATCCGTGCAAGGCTCTGACGGTAAGAGCCAGGCGGGCAGCTGTGAGGAACCACGAAACGGATCCTCCACCTGCCCTGGGCGGGGGGTCCTGGGGAACAGGGACACTGGATGGGGGGCTGCTCAGGCCCCCCCACCCAGGGAAGGTGGAGGTTCCGCCATGGCTCCCCACAGCTGCCTGCCTGGCTCTTACTGTGGCTAGGCTGCAGCTCCCAGCCGCAACCCCCTCCCAGCTGGAGCCAGGTTGGGGAGAGCCGCGTTGGCAGCTGTGGGGAGCCTGGGTCTCTCCACCTGCCCTGGGCAGAGGGACTGGGGGGCAGGGACACTGGGCGGGGGGAACTGGGGAGCAGGGGCACTAAGTGGGGAGGCTGGAACATTTGGCTCGGGGGCTGGAGGGCAGGGACATGGGCCAGGGTTTGCTTGGGCTCCCCGCCCAGGGCAGGTGGAGGGTCTGCTGCAGCTCTGCACAGCTGCCCGCCCAGCTCTTATCATGGCTGGGCTGCCGCCTTGCCCAGAGCCAGGTCGGGGAGAGCTGCGCTGGCAGCTGTGGGGAGCCTGGGTCCCTCCATCTGCCCTGGGTAGGGTACTGGGACACTGGGTGGGGGGCTGCTCAGGCCCTCCCACCCAGGGCATGGTCCGCCACAGCTCCCCACAGCTGCTAACATGGCTCTCCCCAATCTGGTTCCAGCTGGGCAGGGGACAGCTCAGAGCCAGGGCATGGCCACGGTAAGAGCTGGGCGGGCAGCTGTGGGGAGCCGCGACAGATCCCCTACCTGCCCTGGGGGGGGCCCAAGCAGCCCCCAGGCAGCTCCACAGGCCTCCTCCCTTCCCCCAGCCAGGCCAGCATAGAGCCCAGCCAGGGAGCTGTGGGGAGCCGCGGCGGACCCTCCACCTGCCTGCGGTTCAGGGGTATGGGGGGCTGAGAGCAGCCCCCGGTTGTGTCCCTGCCCCCCAGGCTCCTCACCCGGCCAAGGGCAGGTGGAGAGTTCACAACTCTCTTTGGGCTTCCCACAGCTGCCCATGCGGCTCTCCTGACTGGGCTCCAGCAGGGGGGGATGCCTCGGAGCCTCAGCCTGGCCCCGAGTGTAGAGCCCTGCAAATCTGCAGATATCTGCGGCTATCCGCACGTGCGGATGTGGATATTCGCAGATAATTTTTGCGGATAGCGGATCGAATGCAGATACACATTTGTGTACCCGCACAGGGCTCTAGAGATCATCAGATTTTTACAAACATATTTTAAAGTTCAATCTACTCAAAAAATGATTCTGTCGAGATAGCACTTTTTTACTGAACAGACCTCCCTTTCTTTTGAAGTCAGATCTGGTTACTTCAGCGACTCATTAAGCTTTTATTAATTCCTTCTTTACTTACAAATTGAGCAACTATGGTACAGAAGCCACTAATAAAAATAAATATAGGGTCTTTATGATGCCATATTTTAAGTCTCTATTCAGAGTAGAACTGCACTTTAATAAAAAGAAGCACAGAATAGAGAGAAAATCTGTCAAGTCTTTGTTGTTCTCAACACACAAACACATGAGGTGATGATTAACTAAGGGATGCCATGTACATCAACAGAATATACAGACCTTACTTACACTTTTAGAGGGAAGAAAAAAAGCACTGAGAGGAAAAAGAGAAGGAGCATTACAGACATAAAGACTATTATTACATTAGCAGACATTTTGTGTGGGCTCAGATTCACAAATTGCTTTGAAAACCCTCAGTTTTTGTCATGAATGACCCACAATGCGAAAAGCCTGGGTGTTTTTTGCACAGAAGCAGTAACAGGCCCAGCAATACTTAGCACTAGAGGGTACTCTGGTATTCATAGATTTAGACGTGTCCTGGAGAATTAATTGTAATGCTTTTACCTATGCATCAGAACACAAGACAGAAGAATTAGGGAATGTCTTCATTCAGTCACTTACTCTTGGAGAGGGCACTTTCGCTTTTAGCTCTCTTTGAATGTCCTCTGGAGACAAGATATTGAAGGTAAAGATGTTGCTATCTGCTCCACAGGTAACCAGGAACCGGTCATCATAACTAGAGTAGATATCCTGGATTTGGCCATAATCATTGTCATGCATGTTGAAGGACCAGTATCCGTTCATCATGTCTGCTGACAGGTCTTTGTCCTGGAGAGGATAAACTCGCACTGCTCCATCCTTCATCCCACAGAACATCAACAGCTTGCTGGTGCTGTAAAGCGAACAAAAGCTAAACAATTCCAGGTACTGATCTAGAACAGTTAATGTTGCAACAGCAAAAAGCCAATGACACTTGTGAACAAAAGCTAACTTAACACAATGGGTGAAATTCATCCAAATATAAAGGGCTGGAGCAAGGTTCTTTCACCCATACCACTTATGCCCTGCACAAGAGATAAAGGCTGTTGGCAAACTAAGTGACCACACAAGAGTGTCCATGCACCTCCTGTACATCATGGATCTGGCTTCGGAATTGGGTCATGGGGTGGCAGAGAAAATCAATATGGAGTAGACAAGGTATGGACTGGGGAGGGCTTTGGATCAGGATTTGCATGGCTCCATTGGGCTCCAACATCCTCCACAACAGGTGCAGGTTGGTTATTGCCCACAGCCTGGATTAGCAGCTAAAGAGGGGTTGCACAGCTGCCACACAGCCTGGTTCGGGGTTGGGAGGTGACTTTCACCTCCCCATACTCCACCCAATAGAAGGAGAGAAGAAGACAGGTGTAAATTACAGTTTTTATAACCTAAAACGGCTTCCTTGGGGTCAGATCAGGCCTGGTCTCATGGGGTGGGGAGAGCACAAGGACACTCCACTTGTGCAGTCTACATAATGTCCAGTTCAAGCTGCTGGCCTGGTACAATGGAAGTGTGGGGACTGCTCCCTCCATACTCTCCTGGGGAGCAAAGAGCACCCTAAAGGGGGTAAGGAATGGAAGGAGGTAAGGCCATGACTCCATCCCCCTACCCACTGGCCAAGCAAGCACCGAGGTAGTGGACTGCACCCCCATAGGAAGTAGCAGCATCCCAGGGCTTCCCCTGGGCAGAACTTCCCAATGCAGGGATGTGTCTTAAAGTCACAATTGAGCTTTGAGTGCTCAAAAAAGTGGGCGTTTTCAACATGAACATTTTTTAAAAGAAACAATAATGTATTTTACACAGCTGTACTCACAAATCCTACCAATTAGGAATCCTAACGCTGGTAACCAACTAACACTAGGTACCAGGGAATAGAGCAGAACTCTTCTTGAACTCTTGCACGTGGATATTGATCCACACAAGGAAAGAAACAGTGGAATATACCATGATATCTCCAGAGTCCAGTTCATCAGTTTAGTACAAAACAGTAAGTCATAGTGCATAAGCTCTTTTACCAGAAAGAGATCCTTTGGATTGGGTTGTCATCTGTGTTTTCCATAGGAATCACCTCAAAGGGCTCATCTTGCCTGCTTTCAGGGGATATTTCATGATGAACTGGGGAGAATGCACAGTGGTAGAGGTACCCAGAGTCATAGCCACCCTAAAGAAGACAAGGGCCATGAAGAAGACATGAAGAAAGGATGCTGATGCAGGTGTTCAGGAAAATGCGGTTTCATGAATGATTGCTCTTTTCTTAAATTTCTTTTTAAAAATGAATTCATTGCAAGTGAAAGATGCCAGACTAAAAACCCCTGGAAACGCTGTTTATCCACAGAATAAGTCCACCATTATCAGTGGAGCTACAAGCATTTGCCATTCCTCTCTGTCCCACCAATGTGCCTCAGTCATGACCACAAGGGACCACCATCTACTAGTGGGGAAAGAGTTTAGTCCTTGGCCTCTCTGTGGAGGCCACAAAAAGAGTGCTATTTGTTGTGAACTGGAATGACACTGTAAAACCATTTCACAAAGACCACTGAGCACTCGCATCAAGCACTTGGTTTTCTTTGAACACTTGAATATCTTCAAGCATGGGGCACATATGAGCTTGTGTCCTAGAGGCAAAAGACTTTTATTCCAAATACTTTCTCTACGCTATCTAATCCCCAAGTCCATGAATCTTATTGTCTCTACACTTAACAATCCCTTTCTCAAATCAAAAATGAAAGAATATTTAATTTACCAAAGACAGCCAGAATTTCCCTGGTGCTGAATAAAACCCGCAGACAATGGGGCTGGGCTCCTGTGGGACATAGATGGGTGGCAGTGGCTCCTCTTTCTTAGGCTCTGCCTCTGGCTCTTCTTCTATCTCAATTCCCATCTCCTGCTGTTTCTTTATCCACTGCAACCTTGCCTTCTCCTCCTCCTGTTTCTTTTTCTCTCTGCGCTCAATCTCTTCTTCCCTCTGTTACAGAACGCAGTGAAAAATGAGTCATGAAACCAATGCACCATTGACTGAAAGGACCTCATGATAAAAATGCTAGAAATTAGGGAAGTATTCCTCGCAACTAAGCAGAGATCAGGCATGTCTACATAACCCCACAGTGCAGACTATGGGGGTGTGAAATGCAGCACACACTAAAATGTTGTGCTGCAATTGCCCATACCTGCCCTGCAAACACGAACTAAAAGGTACACGTTTCTCGTTAACATAGTCCTATTTGAAATGCGACTGCATTAACACAAACTAGGTACCTTTTAGTTCAAGCTAGCGGGGACTACATGGAGTAGTTACAGCACAACACTTTGATGCACTCAGCAATTCAGACTCCCATAGTCCGCACCGCAGGGCCTGTGTAGACAAGCCCCATCATACCTCATTTGAATCCCCTCATTCCCTCCTCCTCTCATATTCTGCCTCCAAGGACTAACGAAACAGCAAGCACCCTCCACCAGAGACACGCTAAATGCAGCTTTTCCCAAGCCAATCAATCCTTGTGTTAGCCGGAGGATTTGCTTGACTGCAATGGGAGATTCTCTATCAACTCATGGACTGGACGCACTACTTCCGCAGTGCCCCCAAACTCTGTCCTTTACTTGCCCCAAAGTAAAAGCGACCATGCTGGAGACTTGAATTCAGATTCCCATGTGGCATTGCATTGTTTGTGCTCAAACATAAGTTTAAAGTGAAAACAAAATGTTTGTAATGACCTTTCCTTCTGAACACTGAATTGAGGAGTACTGCCATTGCCAATTTATACAATCTTTAAAATCTTCATTTTATTAAAACTTATCTTTGCATAAATAAGTGTCAAATATCACACAATCTTTTCCCAGGGACATATTAGCTTTGTAAGGTAGCCAAAGACATCTCTTCTTCCTGAGTACTGAATTCTTACTGTGTATGCTGGGACTTTGCCAGATCTTTAACAAAACATCAAGGTAGTAGTTATAAATCTTTGAAAATATGGTTGAGAATGGAAGTGCCATCACTCAAGAGAGGCAGCTGTGATGTGCTAGACGGAGCACTGATGCTTAGAGTCAGGTAATCAGTGTTCTAATCCTTAGCCTGCCACTGAGTGCTTTTCAGTTTCCCAAAATACCCACTGGTGAAAGAGTGTGTAACGCCAGTGCTATCTAAGGTATTGCCCATATTTATACCAGCAGTGAATGTGGCCACAAATGTCTTCAAAGGAGCAAGTCCTCATTGAGGAATACATAAATACAATTCTGACTTCTTTTTTTTTTTTATAAGAGTAGTCCATTTACAGTTACCACAGCACACAAAAAAGTATCAGAAAAATTTAACTGGTGAAAAATAACCATTTTTCATGTTTGATTAACTCAGAAGTGACCAAATGCATGTTTATGAAACTGTTTAAAAGAATTTCCTTTGTGGCTGGGATCAAGCATGAGAAATTACAGCTGTAAGGATAATTTTTCTGAAAATTAAAAGACAAAAAATATATTTTTAGAATGGAAGTGACATATTAACTTTAACTCTGCTACCACTAGTATAATCCTATAATATACATGCATTATAAGCTATGTTATTCCTCAGCTCCACTTTTTATTTCCATGAATTAGTGTTGCAACATATATTTTCCAATTGATGAAGCAAAGCCAGGAGTGGTCTGTGCCTGGTCATTCCTTATGAATGGCTCAGCTAGAACCCTGCATTCAGCACTACACAGACTAGCAACTTGAGTGGAGTAGTTTTGTACTCTAGGGATACTGGTAACTGAGGTATGAGAATTTAATTCCCCACAGGACATTTCTTTACCTTGATACGGGATTTAATGCTGCAGAAATGGAAATACTGTGTGGGCAGGTCATTGATCTCATAGGTGGATACTGTGTCCTGTTCTCCAAGGATGGGTGCAGGAACCTGAAGAGCAAAGCCATTTTCACAGAGCACAAGCAGCATGCTCTCTGCCTGTAGAACAGCACATATAACACAACCATTAGACAGACATATGGAACTGGGAGAGAGGCAGAGTAAAGCTAAAGGTCAGAAGTTGTTAAGCCACAAAGTCAAAGCACCCCAGTCAACATTCATTTTATGTGATTATTTCAATAGACGCATCACCACCAGAAATCAGAGAATATCATTTTAGACTGAGAGCAGCATGATGATGTTTAGTGTCACAAGGAGGCTTGCCCCTTTAAATGAAGCAGGTCCAGTTCCTCTGTGCAAGTACAGGTGCTCCCAATTGGCCAATTAAAAAGACAGAACAGCACCTGGTGCTCTAAAGGATCAGGGAGCATTAGAGAGGGAGGAGGCTTGTAGGGATGGCTAGAGGGGGGCTTTGCTAGCTGACCTCCCAAAGGCAGAGAGGCAGGACAGAAAGTTAAAGGCAGAAGAGCAGCAGATGGCATTGTATGCTGACTTCCAAGCCAGAAAGCTGGAGCTGAGGACCAGAAAGGGCTGAAGTTGGGAACAGTGGAAGTACCTACCTGCTTGCCTGTCTGAGATGGGAGGTTAACAGAACAGGGGAAGCAATGGATACTCCACTGCTGAGGATGAACTCCCAGCAGATGGTTTGGGGGATGTGGGTGTCATTCTGCTAGGAAGAGTGGAGATGCACTTGACCTGTAAGGCTTGGGTGGCTGTCATGGCAGAAGGCCAGGAGAGGACAGAAGTAGAGCCCAAGGGTGGTGGAGGATGCCAGAGAATGGTATGTGCTATGTTGATGGACGAGCTGTTGTGGGGTTATAAGAACTAGATGCACTGGGGGTGATAAAGGGACTATGTTTTGGGACTTCTGTTATGGATTATTTGCTCTATGTTTTTGTAATAAGCCAGCCTCAAGGCAGGGTATTACTGAGGCAAGAGAGACTGTGGGGGGGGGGAAGTCTCTAGGAGCCTGAGAGAGGAAGGGGGACTGAAGACCAGGTGTTAGGGTGCCCTGCTGCAAGGAGGTGCTCAGGGAAGATGGGGAAACATTCACACCTTGTGAGTTTGGCTTCTTTGAAAGATGGTGTGACGCATGACCAGAAAGGGTTAAGCATCCTGCAGGATAAATGACTCAGATTCAGCCCTTAAAGATATATGGGGAGATAATGTTTGTGTTTTTGTGTATTTACATATATATTGGTAGTGGTCAACAATGTAATCAAACAGTTCCTGTCTATGCTGTATTCCAGGGATTGGCAATGTTTGCCACGCGGCCCACCAGGATAAGCCCCCTGGCAGGCTGGGCGGGGTTGTTTACCTGCCGCATCCACAGGTTTGGCCGATTGCGGCTCCCACTGGCTGCACTTTGCCGCTCCAGGCCAAAGGGGGCTGCGGGAAGCAGCGCAGGCCCAGGGATGTGCTGGCTGCCGCTTTCCGCAGCCCCCATTGGCCTGGAGCAGTGAACTCCATAATCAGATGTGGCAGGTAAACAAACCAGCCCGGCCCGCCAGGGGGCTCACCCTTGCAGGCCGCGTGCCAAAGGTTGCCAATCCCTGCTGTATTCTGTTAATTCAGAGATCAAAAGAACATCTTAACATTTAAATGAACTGTAAACATAGGATGTTGCTGTATTCATCTCTTTGAAATGTATAGCATATCATCTGCAAATGGTGGGGAAAACAGGCAATTGCCTTATGTTAATCTGTATGAATAATTACCGGGCGATAATTAGGAAATGACTGTCTATTGTTCGCTGAGGGACTCCAGCCTGTGAAAGGAGGCCTGAATTGTATAAAAGATGTTTGGGTCCCAGTCCTTTTTATCTCAGATCTGCTTAAGCTTCACCAGGGGAAGTTTGAGTCGCAAGATTGAGATCCCAGTTCTAAGCTGGAACACCCTGAATATGATATTGGACATTGGATTAAATTCTAAAAGAACTCTTTGCAACTACCGAGCTCACCATCTCTACTACGAAACTGACCTAAGAACTTTATTCATATCTGTATGTACAAAGATATTTTAACCTATACACTCTCTCTTTTCTTTTTTTTAATAAATCTTAGTTTAGTTAATAAGAATTGGCTGTAAGCGTGTATTTGGGTAAGATCTGAGTTATTCATTAACCTGGTGGTAATGTGTCCAATCCTTTGGGATTGGTAGAATTTTTTAATATGATGAACAAGATTTTCAGTAATCCTCAGCATATCTGACTTGGCTGTCTGGGTGGAGGCCTGAGGCTGGGTTACTGTAAGGGAACTGTGTTGTTGGCTTCTGGGCAACTGGTGAGGTAATAAAGAAGCTGTTTTGTGCTGGCTTGGTAAATCTAAGTATTGGAATATCCACCAGCTTTGGGGATTGTCAGCCCCATTCTTTGCAGGTCACCCTAATTGAGTGACCTCAGCTGGCTCCCCCGGGACTCCGGTCACAGATGGGTCTGAACCAAAAGCTTGTGTCAGAGGTTTTGTTTGAATAAGCAACTGAAAGTTTAGGTGCTTTATCTGTACTATACATATCTCTTATGTCTTTAAGACTGGGATGGAAATCTTGGGGGAAAAAACCTCCAGCTATCTTGCAGGATTTCTGGTCCCTGTTAGATCCCTGAAATGCCAGTGTCAGAGGAATAACTGAGGTAGGAGGAAGAATTATCCAAACTTTTTAAATTGCAATAAAAGTCAAGTTTGCATATAGGTGTTTTTCCCCAAAGGAGGCCTCGGGGATGGGGCGGGGGGGTCTTTATTTTATCTGAAGTAATTCACCCAGCCCTAATGTGCAAAGGGAGCTAGCTGCAGTTGCTGTGGGAATCAGAACTTAGAATTACATTGCTTTTGTGCATGTAAAATCTGCAGCTAAAAGTTCCATTAATTAAATGTTCATCTTTTAATCTTCTTCACTTATATTAAAGTGAGAAAAATGAAGATACATTTGACAGTTATAACCTAGAAATTATACATGCAAATAAATACACCGTTAGAGGGTTTCTGCACCTAGCTGCAAGGTTGGGATAGATACTTGTCGCTGCTGGGCAGGAGGACAATCAGAAGAGCCTGACAAGCCAGAGGGAGAAGACATATTGGTGCTTGTCAGGTAAACAGGGAGCAGTCTGCCATCATAGAATGACTCCAAGAGGGCAGCTATGAGCTAATTCCCACGGTTATTTAGGCCAGGTCTAGTCTAGATAGGGTTTGCCAGTAGAGCTATACTAGTATGTACAGCTATGTTGGCAAACCCCCTGGCAGAGACACAACTTATACCAGCAAAAAAATCCTTTTGCTAGTATAGCTTATATCAGTTCCCCCAAACAAAACAAGCTATACTGGCTAAAGGACTTTTTTGGCCAGTATAACTGAATCTACACTTATGCTAATAGAGATCAAACAAGATTTGTTTTCATCTGTCTATCTCCTGTAGTTTGCTATTACATTACTTCTACATTATGATACCCTGTAAGTAAATAACACTAGATCAAAGGTATGTTAATTTGAGATGGTAGTCACATGTTAAAACTTCATAAAAACTAATGGAATGTTACTTGTATTGTTTTTGCTTATCTATTTCTATTATAATGTGATGGCAGGTAATTACATTATGTATAGTCTTGTAACTAAATAACCCCCTAAATGCAGATGAAGCCTTGGGGAAATGCAAACAAAGAAGAGTGCTAACTTAAAGCAAGGGCATTGTGTTCAATGGGAAATCACAGACTCAGTCTGTATTTCTTACTCATCAAAACCCATGTGGGTGAAGACACTGTTCAGACTATTTTCTGGAGAAGCTTAAAAATGGATTTCATGGAAAGATCCTGTATTTTTGAACTGTTTGGACACCTACAGGGAAGCTTTCCAGATGCAAGGCAGAGTTCCCCAGTGTTATTCTGGGTGACCCTGAGAGGCTTTTGGAAAGCTAGCAGATTACTACATTTGGATTTAAAAACTTTGACTCACCTGTTAATGTATTTTACCTGCTTTAACCTCTAAATAACTCATTTTTTTTCTTAGCTTATAAATCTTTAGTTAGTTTACTAGAGATTTGGCTACCAGTGTGACCAGTGTAAGGTCCAGAGTTCCAATTGATTTGGGGTAAAGGACTGATCCTTTGGGATTGGGAGTAACCTAATGTGATTTTTGGTTTATATAACCTTTTATCACAAACTCCAGTTTGTCTGGATGGCAAGATGGGCAAGAGAGCTTAGGGAGACTCCCTGTGACTCCATGGTAATACTAGTATAGTGATCCAGGAGTGCACATTTGTTACTGGCTTGGTGAAATCTAATTATAGAATGTACCACCAGTTTGGGGTGTCTGCCCTGTTTTCTGACAGTCTGACCTGAGACTGGCACTCTCAGTTGTGAGCCACTCCAGACAGCATGACAATCTACGCTAGGGTTTTTTGCTGGTTTATAAAATTCATAAAGAATCACATACCCCCAACCAACAATATTACCCTGGCAGAAGTTTCTAGGGTGAACCTGGCCTTATTAAACTTTTGAAATCTTTGTTTTTAATAACAAAATTCTATCTGAATTAGTCATGGACAAACATCAAAGGCACTGGAGCTTGAGTTCAGAGAAACACCCAAGGGTTTGCTTTTGGTGCTTTGAAAGCTTTGTTTACAATTGCACATGCCTATTTGAACATGGGCAACAGGCACAGTCAATGTTCAAACCAGTGCTTTTTAAATGAAAACGAAGCCTTAAACAACAAGGAGTACTTGTGGCACCTTAGAGACTAACGCATTTATTTGGGCATAAGCTTTTGTGGGCTAAAACCCACTTTATCAGGTGCATGGAGTGGAAAATACAGTAGGAAGAGATAAATACATAGGACATGAAAAGATGGGGGTTGCCTTACCAATTCTAAGGAGACAATTCAATTAAAGTGGGCTATTATCAACAGGAGGAGAAATCACTTTTGTAGTGGTAATCAGGGTGGCCCATTTCAAACAGTTGACAAGAAGATGTGAGTGACAGTATGAGGAAAATTAGCATGCGGAAATTAGTTTTTAGTTCTTGTAGTGACCCATCTACTTCCAGTCTTTATTCAGGCCTAATTTGATGGTGTCCAGTTTGCAAATTAATTCCAGTTCTGCAGGTTCTCGTTGGAGTCTGTTTTTGAAGTTTTTTTGCTGAAGAATTGCCACTTTTAAATCTGTTATTGAGTGTCCAGGGAGGTTGAAGTGTTCTCCGGCTGGTTTTTGAATGTTATAATTCTTGATGTCTGATTTGTGTCCATTTATTCTTTTGCCTAGAGACTGTCCGGTTTGGCCAATGTATATGGCAGAGGGGCATTGTTGGTACATGATGACATCTATCACATTGGTAGATGTGCATGTGAACGAGCCCCTGACGGTGTGGCTGATGTGGTTGGGTCCTATGATGGTGTCCTATGAATAGATACGTGGAGAGAGTTGGCAACGGGGTTTGTTGCAGGGATAGGTTCCTGGGTTAGTGTTTTTGTTTAGTGGTGTGTAGTTGCTGGTGAGTATCTGCTTCAGGTTGGGGGGCTGTCTGTAAGCGAGGACTGGCCTGTCTCCCAAGGTCTGTGAGAGTGAGGAATCATCCTTCAGGATAGGTTGTAGATCCTTGATGATGTGCTGGAGAGGTTTTAGTTGGGGGCTGAAGGTGACGGCTAGTGGCATTCTGTTACTTTCTTTGTTGGGCCTAACAGAATGCCACTAGCCCTTTGCCAACTCTGTCCACATATCTATTCAAGGGACACCATCATAGGACCTAACCACATCAGCTACACCATCAGGGGCTCGTTCACATATACATCTACCAATGTGATAGATATCATGTGCCAGCAATGCCCCTCTGCCATGTATACTGGCCAAACCGGACAGTCTCTAGGCAAAAGAATAAATAGAGACAAATCAGATGTCAAGAATTATAATATTCAAAAACCAACCAGAGAACACTTCAACCTCTCTGGACACTCAATAACAGACTTAAAAGTGGCAATTCTTCAGCAAAAAAACTTCAAAAACAGACTCCAATGAGAACCTGCAGAACTGGAATTAATTTGCAAACTGGACACCATCAAATTAGGCCTGAATAAAGACTGGAAGTAGATGGGTCACTACAAGAACTAAAAACTAATTTCCCCATGCTAATTTTCCTCATACTGTTACTCACATCTTCTTGTCAACTGTTTGAAATGGGCCACCCTGATTACCACTACAAAAGTGATTTCTCCTCCTGTTGATAATAGCCCACTTTAATTGAATTGTCTCCTTAGAATTGGTAAGACAGCTCCCATCTTTTCATGTCCTATGTATATTTATCATCCTACTGTATTTTCCACTCCATGCATCTGATGAAGTGGGTTTTAGCCCACGAAAGCTTATTCCCAAATAAATTTGTTAGTCTCTAAGGTGCCACAAGTACTCCTCATTGTTTTTGCTGACATAGACTAACACGGCTACAACTCTTAAGCCTTAAAAGTTTCACTCGCGGATCCAAAGGCTTGTTTCTCACACAGGAGCAAGTCAAGGTGGTAGCCAAGTTTTTGATGGCTTCCAGGTGATCCTGCACTCTGTTGCTCAGGTCCAAAACACTCTTAAGTGATTGCACTGAAGGACAATTCTGTTTAGTAATAGCTCTCATCCTGAAATGGCATGAAGCTTTTGGCAGCAAAGTGTCTGTAATACAGTGCTTAGATGAGGATTCTTCATCCTTAAGATAACAATGTAGGATATAACATCAGTGTGTTGAAACAGCATCTTTTAAAAATAAGATCCAAGCACCAGGAAAAACATTCACCACTCACGTGAGAAAGTGGAGACCACTGTAATGCCTGCACAGGCCCAGGGACACAAATGTATCCAATTGGCTCATATTTGTCTTCAACAGCAAAGAAGAAGACTGTTTTGTCTTTACTCTGAGAAAGAAAAGAAGATAGATAACAAAAAGCATGCATTTCAAGGCTCTCTAATCATTTCACATACTTGCCAACTTCAAATAGGCACATACTCCTCACCTCAATGCCATGCATTCCCAATATTTGTCAGCCAATACAATTCCCTACTAACTGGATAGATAATCTACTTAGACCCACCACAGATACAGAAAATCAGTTAATTCTAGGCACTAAGTTATCCTCTCCCAAGTGCTTTGGGATCTTTTCTCCCTGAGCCTCTCCTGCTTTTGCAGGGGTCTTACCCTGTAGCCCATACAACCCTTGATCTCCATGGTCCACGTGACAGCAGATGTTATTTCCTGCAATGGCTAAGAGGAGATCACAAGAAAAGCCTCCTTGAGGCAGGTATGATTGGATAAATCAATAAATAAGCACAATCATGTCACCTTAAAATAGATTTATATTTTTGGCTTAATAAAAACAATTCAGTGAATAAGTCAGACATACCCCCGTGGCAAGTACTTCCCCATTTCGTTCATATGCCAAGGCTGTAACTGCAGCAGTGTGGGGTTTAAAAGCTTGTTTCAGACGCATCTCTGCATTCCCTACATTGGTCCGTCCTGCAACAATGGCGAGTCCCCTGGGATCATAAACTTCAATAATGCGAACAACGCCATCTTCAAAGCCAACAGCAATTAGACCTCCTTTGGGATTTACCTGTGCATAATGAAATTAAAAAACACTTGCATCTTCAGGCAGAAGAAAAAATTTGCAGACTCCAAGGCCAGGAGAGACAAGTGTGATCACCTAGTTTAACCTACATACCACAGACCATACCTTCCTCAAAATAATTCCTGTTTGAACTAACGCATATCTTTTAGAAAAACACCGAACCTTGATTTTAGCCACCACAAACCTTGGTAAGTTGTTCCAATGGTTAATTACACTCATGGTTAAAAATGTACACCTTATTTCCACTCTGAATTTGTCTAGCTTCAACCTACAGCCATTGAATCTTGTTATAGCTTTGTCTGCTAGATTGAAGAGCCCACTATCAAATATTCCCATAGCAGTTGCACCAGTGCCAAATACAGAAGTAATATAACCTCTGTACTCCTACTCAATATTCCCATTTATGTATCCAGGGACTGCGTTAGTTCTTGTTACCATATCATCACACTTTGAGCTCAGCTTCAGCTGACTATATACCATGACCCCCACATCTTTTACAGAATCACTGCTTCTCAGGATAGAGTGCCCCATCCTGTAAGTATGGCCTACATTCTTTGTTAATAGATGTATAACCTTACATTTGGCCATATTAAAACACATTGTTCGCTATCAACCAGTTTACCATTAGAACAACATAAGAATGGCCATACTGAGTCAGACCAATGATCCATCTAGCCCAGTATACCATCTTCCAACAGTGGCCAGAGGTGCTTCAGAGGTAATAAAGAGAACAGGGCAGTTATTGAGGGATCCATCTAACCCCTGTCCTCCACCCTCTGGCAGTCAGAGGTTTAGGGACATCCAAAGCATGGAGTTGCATCCCTGACCATGTTGGCTAATAGCCATGGATGGACCTATTCTCCATTAAGTTACCCAATTTTTTTTTTAACCCAGTTATGGTTTTGGCCTTCACAACATCCCATGGCAACAAGTTCCACAGGTTGGCTGTTTAGTTTCTTAAGTTAGTTTTTAACCTGACGCCTATTAATTTCATTGGGTGACCCCTAGTTCTTGTGATATGTGAAGAGGTAAATAACACCTCTTTATTCACTTTCTCCACACCATTCATGATTTTATAAACCTCTATCATATCCCCCCTCAGTCGTCTCCTTTCTAAGACGAATAATACAAATCTTTTAAATCTTTCTTCTTATGGAAGCTGTTCCATACCCTTGATAACTTTTTTTGGCCTTCTCTGTATCTTTTCCAATTCTAATATATATTTTTTGAGATGGGGCAACTAAAAGTAGACATAGTAATCCAGGTGTGGGCTCACCATGGATTTATATAGTGGCATTATGATATTTCCTGTCTTACCTGTTCCTTTCCCAATGGTTCCTAACATTGTTAGTGTTTTTGATGGTCATTGCACATTAAGCACATGTTTTCAGAGAACTATCCACAAGGACTCCAAGATTTCTTTCTTGAGTGTCAACAGCTAATTTAGACCCCCATCGTTTTATATGTAAAGCTGGGATTATGTTTTCCAGAGTGCATTACTTTGCATTTATCAACAATGAATTTCATCTGCCATTTTGTTACGCAATCACCCTGTTTTGTGAGATCCCTTCATAATTCTGCAGTCTGCTTTAGATTTAACTATTTTGAGTAATTTTATATCATCTGCTAATTTTGCAACCATTTAGTGATCCATGAGTGGACCTTTCCTCTTATGACATAACTACTTACTTTGCTTAAGAGCCTTTGGGGAGGGACCTTGTTGAAGGCTTTCTGAAAATCCAAGTACACTGTATTCACTGGATCACGTTTGTCTACGTGTTTGTTGATCCCTCAAAGAATTCTAATAGATTGGTGAGGCACGATTTCCCTTTACAAAAGCTGTGTTGACTCTTCCCCAGCGTATCATGTTCATCTACATGACTGATAATTCCGTTCTTCACTATAGCTTCAACCAATTTCCTGGTATGGAAATTAGGCTTACCGGCCTGTAATTATCAGGATTGACTTTGAAGACTCTTAAAAATCAGTGTTAGATTATCTATCTTCCAGTCATCTGAACAGAGATTGACTTAAGCAACAGGTTACATATACCACAGTTGGTAGTTCTGCAATTTCATATTTGAGCTCCTTCAGAACTCTTAGGTGAATACCATCTGGTTCTGATGACTTACTATCATTTAATTTATCAATTCTTCCAAAACCTTCTCTACTGACACCTCAACCCGGGACAGCTCTTGAGATCTGCCACTCGAAAGAATGGCTCCAGTGTAGGAATCTCCCTCACATCCTCTGCAGTGAAGAACAATGCAAGAATTCATTTAGTTTTTCTGCAACAGCCTTGTCTTCCTTGAGAGTTCCTTTAGCACCTTGATCATCCAGTGGCCCATTGATTGTATGGCAGGCTTCTTGCCCTTCCTGCTTCTGACATACTTCAAAAAAAATGTTGTTATATTTTGGGTCTTTTGCTAGTTGCTCTTCAAATTCCTTTTTGGCCTGCCTAATTATACTTTTATCCTTGACTTGCCAGAGTTTATGCTCCTTTCTATCTTTCTCAGTAGGATTTGACTTCCAGTTCTACCAAGCGATCCAGATCACTTTGCATCAGTGACTTGTATTCTTCATTATTTACCACTCCCCTAATCTGTGTGTCATCTGCAAACTTTCTCGGTGATGATTTTGTTTCCTTCCAGGTCATTAATAATAATGTTAAATAGCATAGGGCAAAAACTAATCACTGTGGGGCCCCACTAGAAACACACCTGCTCAATGATGAATCCCCATATATAATTATATATGAGATCTGTCAGTCTATTATTAATCCATTTAATGTGTCCCATGTTCATTTTGTATTCTAATTTTTTAATCAAAACATTGTGCAGTACCACGTCAAATGCCTTAATGAAGTATATTATATTGAGACCATTGCCTTTATCAACCAAATATGCATTTTCATTAAAAAAATTAAGCTAGTTTGATAGGGTCAATTTTCCATAAATCTATGCTGATTGGCATTAATAAAGCATTAGAGGATAATTTAATTTAATCAAGTCCCATATCAGCTACTCCATTATTTTACCTGGGATCAACATCAGGCTGATACTGAGAAACTATATAGCACACAGCTCTAGAGTTAACATATACTCCATCTCATAAATCATTCTATATGGAGTTTCTGTTGTCCACATACATGAAGGAAAGAGTCACATGGAGAGTTTAATTTTAAAAGCTTAGTAGTCTTTAGCGATGCTACATACCACCATGGAAAATGAGCTTTGATTTTGATGTCAGGCCAGAGGGGACTCACATGCTTGTAACTCAGAGGACAGTGGCGTAAGAACATAAGAACAGCCATACTAGGTCAGACCAAAGGTCCATCTAGCCAGGTATCCTGTCTTCTGACAGTGGCCAATGCCAGGTGCCCCAGAGGGAATGAACAGAACAGGGCAATCATCAAGTGATCCATCGCCTGTCGCCCATTCTCAGCTTCTGGCAAACAGAGGCTAGGGATGCTATCTGAACCAGCAGCAGCTTCTAATATTCTTTTTAGGGAGGAGATATTTAAATGATCCTAGACAAATAAATGGCTCGTAGCATATGATATAAATTGACTTACTTTCATTGACTGGCTACTTGCAGTAGGAACTTACATACCGGGCTCAGTCCTTTTATCCATCTAGCCAAGTATTCTCCCTCAGGCAGTGTTCAGATACCAATACTTCAAAGGAAACTGAATGAAAATGTTCTAGGATACACTATGGGCCAGATTTACAAAGGTATTTGGGCACTTAAAGATGCAGAGAGGCACCTAGTGGGATTTAAGCATAAGTAGGTAAGGTGCCTAATTGACTTTCAATGAGAGTTAGGTACCTAGCTGCATCTTTAAAAGTATCTGTTTACCCTTGTAAATCTGGCCATGAGTATAGTGCTGTATATTTGTAGGACCCAATCAGCTTACTCCATAAGCACACAGTTGGTCACCTAAATATAGTCATAAGATTGCATAGCACAAATGCTCTTGAAAGCATAGTGCTAAAGCCACCCTACCCTTTAAAAATCAGTATTTCTCTCTCTGACTTCCTGTATAAGTGAACTCTGCAGGCTTACTATAAATGTTTCCTCAAAAACATGTCAACACAAGAGTTTAACTCAAGTTAATTGATTGCCAGTTAACTCAAGTTAGCTAATATGTTTTAAAAGGTAATATAGATACTCCACAAATGTTCAGTCCTGGTCACAATCATTTGTGGAGTGTCTAAACCTGTTAGCTAACTCAAGTTAATTGGCAATTGTGATGGGGTGGACTAGGCCCTTAGGCCCCCTGTTCGAGGCCTCGCAGCTTGCCACACCCCGCCCCAGAAAAGGGCAGTGGAGAGAGTCCTCCAAGCTGCCGAGAGAGGTTGCATGGGACACAGCCAATCAGGAAAGAGGCTGCAGGGAGCAGCCAATCAGGGCCCAACAGACTAGTATAAAAGAGCTAGAGGGCCAGAGTGAGTGCAGTTGCTGCCTGGAGCCAGAGGAGGGAACTTGGTGCTCCTGGTTTGCCAAAGGACCTCGGACAGAGCAGTTGCTGGCCGGAACCAGGGGAGCAAGAAGGGGCTCCTGGCTGGCTGCTGGGACTCAATCAGGAGAAGGCCCTGAGGTAAGGGTGAATAATGTGCTGGGACCATGGGGAGGTGGCCCAGGGAATCATAGCAGCAACACAATTTAGTTAAAGGGATGTGGTGGACGCCTGCTATCTGTAAGATCCCTGGGTTGTAACTTGGAGTCCCGGGCAGGCACAGGTCCCCACACCCATTCGCCACTGGGGAAGTAGTCTGGACTTTGATGCACCCCAAGAAGGGGATCTGAACTGTTTGGTGGGCTCAGAGAGGGCAAAGATGTTGCCTCCATGGAGGGAACTCTGGGGGCGGGGGGGTTTGATATCAGGGCCAAGACTATTTAAAGACTGCTGGACTAAATAAGGACATGAGCCCAGGGATGGCTTCCGAAAGACACTGACCAACCAAGGAGTACTGGAACAGGCCCCCGTTGGACTTGTACCATGAAAGGGGTTTATCTGTCTGTTGTTTCACATACAAACTGTGTGTGACTCAGCCAGAGGGCTGAGTTGCTGAAGACTCAGTGCAAGGCAGAGAGAAGTGCAAGCACAAACACTCTGCCAAGGGGGCTGTGACACAGGGCCAGAAAGAATTAAGCAACCAGCAGGCTAAATGACCCAAATTCAACCTTTAGAGACTTGTTAGAAAAGTACATAAATGGTAATTAAGGTCATTTCATGTTTGATAGACTAGAGCTTTGAAATGCAAACCTGTATTGTTTCCCATTGATTCAGAGATCTAAAGGGAATATTAACATTTAGATGAAACTTGGGTGTAATAATGTCATTGTCTATATTTCTCTTTGAAGTCTGTAGTAAATTGTCTATGAACTGCTTAATGGATAATTACCTTATGCTGATGAATGCAACTAGTCACTTGTGTATACATAGGAAATAGGTAGCTTTACTACGAAGCAGCTATTCTTCACCCAAGGGATACCTGCTGTCAAGAGGCTATCATAGCCTGCCAGTGATCTATATAAAGAAATCTTGGGTGCTGATCCTTTTACCTCAGATCTGCTTAAGCTTCATCAGGGGAAGTTTGAGTCGCAACACTGAGGTATCCAGTCCCATCTGAATCACCCTGATATTGGACATTGGACTGTAACCTATGGACTAATTCTGAAAGGACGTTTTGCAGCTCTAAAGCTCATCATCTCTACTATGAAACTGACCTAAGAACTTTATTCATATCTGTATGTATAAGGATCTTTTAACCAATACTTTCTTTTTAATAAAGCTTAGTTTAGTTAATAAGAATTGGCTGTAAGTGTGTATTTGGGCAAGATCTGAGATATTCATTAACCTGGTGGGTAATGTGTCTGATCCTTTGGGACCGGTAGGATCTTTTTAGGTGATTAACAAGATTTTCAGTAATCCTCCTCATATTTGACTTGGCTGTCTGGCTGGGAACTCAAGGCTGGGTTGCTTTAAGAGAACTGTATTTCTGGCTTCTGGGTAACTAGTAAGGTATTGTGGAAGCTGTTTTGTTGCTCGCTTGGTGACTCTGAGGGCAAGTTGGCAAGTAATTTCATTAAAATCCTGCATCATGAACATGTGTGATGGCTATGAAATAGCCACATTATGAACCCTTTGTGAATCCATGTTAACACACTGCAGTAGGGTAAACTTACCACTCGGGGTGCCCAAGTCAGTGCTGTTCCTCCCTGTTTAAACTTAATCTCAGTCAACTGGCAATTACCAATGAAATCATAGATACGCACTGAGTCTGTGTAAGACAGATGGGAGGGGGGTGGAAAGGAGACAGGTTAATACAGACAATTTTTTCTTGAAAGACTACTTGTTAAGATAACATCCATGAACTGGCCAATATTCCTTCCCTGTCTAACAAGTGCTAAAGTGAAGTGCGAAAGGCTTGCTCAGGCACACTTTCATAAATTAAATAAATGTCCATAGTCTGAGCTAAACTATTAATGAGGACATGATGGCTGTTGCAATTGCCAAGAAAGGCACAAGTATTAATACTCAGAATTATTTATACAGTGCCATAAATGTATATGGTGCATTACAAAACACAGAATAAAACACTGTTATTGAGCCACTGAGTCTGGAATATGAAAGTTGTTGTTGAAACAAAATTCTCCCCTTTTCTGTTTCACAGTGAACAGCATTTATAAAGCTTCACAGTGAGACTTTCTTTAATTGAAGACCTAGTTCTTGAGATCAGACACTCCTTGCACTTTACTTGGCTTCAACCCATTAATGATCTGTTCTAATTATTAAAAAAAAAAAAAACTGTCCCCAGGAATAATGACCAGCTGGTAGGTACCTTTACAAAGAAAAGACACACTTCCACTACAACTGTGAACTAAACACATTAGTTTAAAACTGAATAATTCCACAATGAGCCTGACAGCTGTAACTCTGCCCTTACAAGTTAACCGCTTAGGGAAGAGTTGTACTTACGGTCAAGTGCAGTAGTGGCCATGAGATATGTGACAGGAGAGACACCCATGGCTTCAATCTTTCCAGAGTGAAAGGTAAACAGGCACTCTGGATCATGGGTCTACAGAGAAATCAGAACAGAGGTCTGCTACATTCAGAGACTGAACACATGGCTTGCAATGCCTCATCAACATAAAATGGACACCTAAAATAAATATGCAAAAATCTACCCTACACCTATTGCTAGCAAAAATGTGGTACCCATGAATACAGTTACCTTTTTGTTCCTGCAAATGCTCATTTTGATTGTACAACAGGTGCACAAGCAAATTTGTACAGGCATATTAAGCACCTGCATTTAAAAATATGGCATCAGATGTGTAAAAATAAAGGCAAATAACATATTATATTGAGAGGCACAATGCCTGGAGATCAAATTTATAATAGAAAACTATTGCTCTGAAGGCTGAGAAAATGACCTTAAGCCAAGGGCTTTATATTTCACTGGAAGTCTTTTTCCAACCCAAGGAGGAAAAATGGGTTTCCCTATATACTCATGTATTTATTATACACTTTATACATATATTTTTGCCATACTAGTGCTGCTGCTTCATTTATCTGCTGCTACAGGGTCTGCTTGATGGAATTTTTGATCATACACTAAGTGTCTGTTTTAACTTTTCTGCTCATGTGACCCTCTCCTACAGCAGTAATAGTAGCAATCAGTTTGATCAAATGTACAGAGATGTGAATGTTGTCCTCAGCATCATCTAGATGCAACACTGATGGGCACTTCAGAAATACCTATCCACACAGGTTGTACTAGCAGCCCTCACATTAACATCTCATATTAATATCCATCACTCCCTACCCTTTGAGAATCAGGCCCCTTTAAGGTAGCTCCAGTTTAGCAATCAACAATTAAGGGACCCAAAATCAATAGTTACCTTTGAAAATCTTGGCCAGTAACTGTAATCAGTGAAGATAAATCCTAAAGATGTGCCTCCTAATCATACTAAATCCTCAACTGTACAGTTGGTCAAAAGTTGGATGGCATTGTATGGCCACACAGTGTAATTAAAGGAACTTTAAAAAAAAGGGGGTGGGAATAAAACTTACGACATTTGAAAAACTCAGATCAAGCTTCCAGATGGCTCCATTGGAATCCTAGAGAAATAAATATTTAAAACCTGAATGTTCTTTCAAATTAAGTTTGAAAATAGCATCAGTCCTTGTAATGCCTTACAAATACTGTAGGTAAGAATCTCAATCATCTGGAAGAAACAGGATTTAGACTTCATAGAGTGTGATGTCAATTTCACCTCAGCAGCAGAACAGGGCAATGAAGCCTGGGAATGACACTTTCAAATTCTCCCACTCCCATGTAGCTCCCACTCTCAAAGCTGGAAGAGAGACTCAAATGTTATTCTACTCTAAAAATAATCAAGGGAAGACAGGGTACTAATTCTACAAGAAAAAGCAGATTGCTTCACAGCAGATTTCCTCTGGCAGTGCATCACCACATGCCTCATCCAATATTGCTCTACACAGCTGATAAGGATGCAAATAGGTCTTACCTGAGCATACCAAATGGGCTGTCCAAGTTCATGAATTTTCATGATTGAGCTCAAATTGACATTCTTGCCAACGAGAAGTTCATTCATATGGTCCATCTCTAGTAGACCCGTGTCATCCACAGAATCAGCTGCATCTATCGTCTCAAAGTCCCACACCTTCAAGCAGTTGGAAGTGAACAGATCAGCCTTCATTAATCCGAATGCCAACACATCTCACATTAACACATACAATGGCAATATAAAATCAATGATAAGAATCCAAGGGAATGGGTGGCTCAGGATATAGAATAGGGAGCCTGTCATGTCTACATCACTGGCTTCAATATGACCTGGAGCAGTGACAATCAGAGGCTGTTACCATCTAGCATCTGTTCAGTGGCCCATGTAAAATGTGTTTATAGGTCTCAATCCAATTCCTAAAGGACAATTGCCCATATCCCAAAAATCATTAACTACAATTGGCACTACTTAGTACCCATGTTGGCAGTGTCACAACGAGAGAGAGTAAAACTGCCTCCTAGAGGTTGTCTCTACTGAGACAGTGTGGAAGGACAGAGTGAGAGAGCCTGCACCTCCTCTGTCTGCTCTGTGGATAAAGAGCAGCTTTTGCTTTCCAGATCTGCCAGTCCAGCACCCTTTCGCCAGGATGATATTTACATAAAGAATACCATCAATGTAAAAAAAAAATAAATCCAAACCAAAAACCTCATCTGAAACTTTTTTCCCTACAGCTGTAACCACTGCCTATAATTACTATAACTGAAAGATTAGTTGGAAAAAAGACTTTTTTCACTTTGTTTATTTTGAGCATTTAACAGTAATTTGTCTGCTGTCAGTTTCCCATTGTTTGGGTCTCTTGTGCAGCAATAGGGGAGGATACTAAAACTAAAAACAAACAAACATAAAACAGGGAAATGATTGTAAAACCCATAAACTGGCAAGTAGAATCAGAAGCAGACATAGAACTTGAGACTACTTTTAACTCATTTTTAAAAATTGGTTTGATTTTTAAGTTGAGGGTGCCACATTATTTTAATAGGGGTTTGTTGCTCAGTTGAAATGGATACGTCTTTGAGATAAAATGACAGAGGTGCTAACTAATTACACAAATGCCTTAAGCGTTCACATGATCAGAAATAATTTCAAATACCACTGTGATTTATCCTTTGAAATAGTGTGACATGTTAACAAGGCCTGAAAATGACTAACATAAACCTAAGCTACACAACCCCCACCCCCAAAGTTAGAATGTGAGGGGAAATAAAACTTGTTAAAGACATCGAAATTTACTCTGATCTATTAGCGCACAGAAGGGATTTCTGTAACATTAGCAGGCACAGAAAGTTATTTAAATGTGATCTGATCCAAACATCTACATTGTAGAAAGAGATCTGCTTCTATCAAGTTCCTTCTCAAAATTCATTAGACAGTGATTACGGAGAGAAACTCCCACAATAGATTACTCCCGTTACAACATATAGGCTAACAATTACTTCCCTTTCCACCTGTTAACAAGACTCTGTATACCAAATATGCATCCACACTATTAAAGGAAAAAACACTCACCCTAATGTAGCCATCTCCTCCAACAGTGACCAGCTCTCCCTCATCCAGAACTAACTGATTAACAGGGCCATTGTGACAGGGTCTATGTCCAGTTCGACAGAGCTCTACTTTGATAAGGCCCCCTTCCCAAAGCAGCAAGTTGCCCCATTCAGATCCAGAGATAACCTTCCATGCAAGTGAAGAGGAATACATGAGTGTTGTAACATATCAATGTGCAGATATTGGAGAGAGACTGGTGAATATCTTAGCTCACTATAGCCTTTACTTTAAATTAAGAAAGCTCATTTGTCTGAGAATCACAATAATAATGGATACTTTTAAACTGTTAAATAAGCCAATTTATTGCCAATTAATGTCAATATTAGATTCACAGATGCATATTTGATTGTATATAGAAGGCCTAATCCAAAGCACTCTGAAGTGAATGGGAAGACTCCCATTGATTTCAACTGACCTTTGTTCAGTCCCTGAGAGGGAGAAAGAAAACAGTTGTACTCATTCACTCTACTTACCTTCCCATCAGGCAGCTCCACATACCCTACAATGTCAGTCACAGCTGTTTTACCAAACCTTCCCAATGCTCCCTGTAGCTTGAGCCCAGTGAATGTATGGGCCATCTTCCAGAACCTGAGTACAGAAAATATAGTCTTTGGGGTTACACCTGACATTGTATTCAGAAAGTATTGTATCTCAGGCTCTAAGGTCATCATATATGGGTATTTCCAATCTGTGGACTACTCATTTAATTATATTTAAATCAGGGTTTGTAGTTTTTAAAAATTAGCCTCATTCAGCACATATAAAGTTTTATCTATCTAGTTGGGGTTTTTTGTTACTGAGTGGAACTGAAATGCCCCAACAAGATGACTAGGTCACCAAACCCACCTTGATCCCAGTCAGGTGTTTATTATACACCACAGCCACCCTCCCCCACCAAAAAAAACCCAAACTTTCCCTTCACCTACTTCCATGAAAAACCTAGAAAAATATGGGCAGGAGAAGATAGGGAGACTAATATTTAAATAGATGCTAAATCAATTTATATATCCATCTTGCAATACTTTCCATATTTACTTGAGGAAGCCTACTTTTCTCTCTGGTTGGTCTCCAATGTAGGATGCTCACCTGTTGAAATCCTGTGGATAACTTCTCCACTGGATTCCATTTTGTGTAACACTGTGGACTTCAATGGGGTTGCATTAATCTAAATGAGCCAGAATTTGGCCCTGTATCTCCAAAGTTACTTCTAACAAAGCATGCAGAAATGTTATAGAAATACAAGAGAATGATATGAATGATAAAAGATAAATGATATAGAAATACAAGAGAATGAATCCACTGTAGACAAACTATCATTTCCTATTTCAATTAGAGATGGTCCAAGTTTGTGGTATGTGGATAAGGATCCAGATTATATTTAGACTATGTCTTGGGACCATGCTATAACTGAGGTCAAATCAGGGCTAGGGATCAAGTATAGATTGTATGGCACTGAAATATTTCAAGCTGTTTTTAAATGACATTTTAGCTCAAAATGGAAAAAAAAATCTCACCAGACATGTTATTTTGTGAGATTTCAATCATCAGTAAACTCTCATCAGTTTAGACCTTGGAAATAAACCCCTTCTGGGTTTAGATCCAAATTGGAACCAAATTGCAGGTATGGGTTTGGATCTAGGGATTTTTATTTGATTCCTCTGTAAAATTCAAAGGTATTTAGATTCATCATTGTTAGTATTATTTGTAACTCAGTACCACACCTGTTATCTATTGTGCTTGGTACTGTACAAGTAGGACAAAAAGATGGTCCCTATCCCCAAAAAGCATAATGCTTTGGTCCATTTTTAATTACAATAGGTACCCAGATTTACCTATAAAACAGACTATATCTTAAAGATCTTTCACAATTTGCAAAGAATATTTTTTAGTAAGGCTCCCCTTGCTGTTCCTTTCTGGCGCTCTTGTGGGCTGTTTTGACCATGCTTTGTGATTAGTTCTTAAAACTGACCAAACAGCATGTGTCAGCTCACTTCACAAAGTCAAAAAGAGGCCAACAGGCAAGAATCCCAGAATTCAGAGAAAAGCCATGTGCTGACCCAACAACTAGAACAGAGGTTGATATATAAATATTTCTCCACATTCCCAATGCACTTTTGAAGATCAACAATGGAGCAGTTTATTGGGCATTCCATTACACCATTACCAAACAACAAAAAATTCTTAAGTGTCAGGGCAGTTAAGCACTGGAACAAATTGCCTAGGGAGGTTGTGGAATCTCCATCACTGGAGGTTTTAAAGAACAGGTTAGACAAAAACCTGTAAGGGATGGCTTAAATACTTCAGTCATGCCTCAGTGCAGAGGACTAGACTAGATGACCTGTCGAGATCCCTTCCAATCCTACATTTCTATTATCTCTTTTGGAAAGCAGAGGTTTCAACATTTGTATTGCTAAGCAGAACACTGTTCCCCATTGTTGTGCACCTGTTAACAATCATATTGTTATTAGTCAATCATTTTGTAAGTTTCATGATTTTTTTTAGTTACTTCCCATCAACTGATGTTAGTGAACCAACCTACTTGATGTGTCCTGATCCAGAAGTGGTGAGTTGCTCTTCATTTTCAGGAGAGAATGTGACCTTATAAACATCCTGTGAAAAAGCCTTTGACCTCAGCACAATCTTTTCCTGTTTCCAATCCCAGATTGTCAACATGTAGTCAGGGCTGCTCCCAACGCTGGCCAGTAACGTTCCATAATGGTTAAAATCAGCAAATGCATAGGCTTCCTCAGTCCCACCTGGAAGGAGAGATGTCCACAAAGAAAAGTTGCTTAAAAAGAGCTCAGTTCTCTTTATTTGGCTAGTGCTGAAGCAGACTCAGCCAATAGTTGGCTATTTTCCACACACCCAGGAGTGCAAAGACAACCACTTACAATCAGTTTTCTGTATTTGATTTTTCAAGTACCAAAAGATTATACATTATACATTTTTTTTTTACTAATTATAACATTATTCCACTTGCTGGAGACTACAAACTCTGCTGTATCCATGTAATACCGAAATAGTCCTATTTAACCTACCTCGGAGTATTCTGTATGGCTTTAGTGAAGGAAATTCATAGATGATGATGTTTGGCTTCCATCCTTTTTCTCCTACTGAAAAATACTGTTTACTAGGATGTACCTAGAAAAAGCAAAGACTGTGTTACATACTCCGATATCCCCTTTGGCTGTCCTCAACTAAATATCAAGTTGTATACCACCACACAGGTTGTGGAACGATGCAATAATTTGTATTTATCCTGCATCTTTGATCATCTCACCTGCATTCAGCCTACCAATCCATCTCCCCCTGGACAGCATTTAGGGCACTGCTATCCTTCTACTATTGGAGAACAGGAGCAAACAGCACATTCAGGGGCTGTTCCACAGTAGTGGAATTGAGCAAATAATTGATTTCTTTTTCACTTATGTGGCCAGAACAAAAACAGGAAAAAATTGTTTTGGGTTGAACAAAATGTTTCATTTGATCCAAAAAATATTTTTATTACTTTTTGGGTGTTTTTTATACTCTTTTAAAAGTTTTTTAAAAAAACAAATTTAGCTAAACTTCAAAGCAAACTGTAATTTTGCAACAAAGTCTACATATTTCATTTTAAAAATGTCAAAACTGTTTCAACTCTTTTTTTCCATTATTTTTATTCAGCCAAAATTATATGCCAAATTTGACCCATATTTGCAAATAGTCTTGCTCGATGGAAAAATGCATTTTAGATCAAATAATTAATTTGCCTGGAAAAAAACATCACCCAGCTTTGTGCAGGAGATGTGAGGACCTGACGTGATTCTCCAAGAAGTGTTGTTTACAACATAACAAAACAGCATAGGACCAGATTTTGATAGCCTTACTTTCTTGGAATAGTATCAATTATCCAACAGGACTATTTGTGGAATCAGATGGTGATAAACCAGAGTAAGTGTTTCATAATCTGGCCCACAGAGAGGAACTTCCAATAGTGAAATTGGACAACATTTCACTCCATTTACCTATGTACTTGAAATTCCAAATTTCAGAACAGATGAAACATTTAACCAATATTAACTGTAATAAGGATAGATGATGAATTGAACAAAAGCAGTTAAACTATATCCAGAGCATTTTAACAAATAAAATTTTAAAACAACAAAAAGTGAAACCCAGTTGACTCTTGTCAATTCTTGTAAGTACCTTATTAGTATGGCCTGGAACCCAGACCTATTTAAGATATTCAGCTGTTTGTTCCCTGACTATTAAACAAGTAGGTCCATGTAGTACACCTTGATGGATTGCTACTGGTCACACATCTGAGATTACTGACTTTTCCTTTCAACCCTTTAATAAATACCACTTGTTCATCCGAGGCCAAATATGCAGGCAACTGTGGAAATCTTCCATGAAACAACTGAGACACCCAGCCTGTTTCACTACTGCAAGTTTTAAACTCCAGAAAGGGATCTTCTTCCTAAAGAGGGAAATAAAAGCCATACCGTGATAATGCCAATTCCACCACCGCTGCTGCTCCGGAGATAACTCTGATATTTAGTTTTCAGGTCCAAGAGCACCAGCTGGTTGCCTGCTACATAGAGGAGTGTTTGACTATCCAGCAACAGCAGGTTTGCCCTTTTGGTGCAGTCATAACCAAAAGAGTGTCTGTGAACAGCTCACTAAGGAGGTTTATTTCTTCCAGGTAATAGCAATAAAGGTATCAATACTAAAACTAGAGCAAGCCCAGCTGGGAACACTGATTTGGCTGGCTGTTACTCTGTTGGGCTGGCTTTGGTTTGGTTTGTTTTAAGACTGGTGCCATGATGAAGCTAAAACCCATCAAGGTATCACAAATAATTGGGGAAAATATAAATGAAATATTTAAAAGATTAATGTATCATCCCTCAAACTCCACGTCAGACTCCATTTGTTATGGCCTATCCTGATCTCTGGAGCTCTCCTAAGAATTCATATTCTATTGACTTAATGTTCTCTTTTCAAATAAAATGTAAAAGAAATTGATCAGATTACAAAGTGCACTGTATGCAAGAGACAGAACCAAAGCAATGTCTCAGGGCTTTTCTACATGGAGAAGTAACGTGTATTGTGGAAGGAAGGGCGATTTCTAAAGCACACTCGTGTGTATCACATTAATTGGTCATGTAGACCCTGCTGGTGTACACCAAAAGTTCTCTTGTGCACTTTAACGTAGTGCACACCAACATGGTCTATGCTAAATGCACTAGGGAACATTTGGTGCGCACCAGCAGGGTCTACACACAACCAATTAAGGTGCAACACATTAGTGGGCTTTAGAAATCAGACTCCCAGCAGTACACATGCACCGTGCACTGTGTAGACAAGCCCTCAAGCTCACTCCCTCTGCCAGTCTGAGGCCTGGTCTGCACTATAGTTAAGTCAACGTAAGGCAGATTATGTCGACCTAACTCTGTAATTGTCTACACTAAAATGTAGCTCCCACCAATGTAACTTGCCCACTACACCGACTTAATAATTCTACCTCCTTGAGAGGTGTAGTGCTTAAATCATTGTTAGGTCAATGCAGTGTCAGCATACACACTGTTGCTTACATCGACTGTTGCTGCCTTTCAGAAACCACACCCCATGCCCCACACTGGCAGTTAAATCAGTGCAAGCACTCCTGGTGAGGACGTGCAATGCCAACACAAGGAGCATAATGTGGATGAGCAAAACCAATTCAATTACTGCAGTGGCTGTATATCAATGTAATTTAGGTTGACTTAATTTTGTAGTATAGACTTGCCCTGATGCAGAAAAGAGACAAAGAAGGGTTTCCTCATAGCAACTTCACTGAGCCCCAATGGAAAACCACCTGTGCATCTGAAAATCACACATTGTTCCCTGTTCCTCCCTTACACCTAGAGGAAATAATATACTGCAGCTTTTAGATAAGAAAACCCTAGATCTAAGTCTATACAATACTGCATGAGGAGGATACATGAGAGTGAGGAGGTTAATTGGTATCCCAGAGTCTGACGTCACAAAGGGTTGTGAGCACAAATCTTCATAGTTATAGAAGAAGGTCTCCGAGATTTTCCTTTCTAGCGTCTCAGGCTTTTTTTCTCGCTCTGGGGGTTTCTCAGTATCCTCCTCCTCCTCTTCCTCTGTATTTCAGAAATAGTGACACAAAAAAGAGCTTTAGTCAGATAGGTAGACATGTCAATACCCTAACTGCAACAGTGGATTATTCATTAATTCTTTCCTTCCTCCAAAGAAATGATATGCACTCTAGTGTCTAAAAACAAATCTATCTTTGTACTATGAAACATATCCTGTGAATAGCCTTGAATGAATAGCATGTGCTTTTCTAAGATTAGAAAAATCTGGGTTCTAAATAACCAAGGTAAGAATGTTTTGAAAATTCACTGCCTCATACACATAGCAGAAAACTTCTGTCCATATTTGTAAGATGAGTCATCTTTACTGACGTTAAACCTTGAGACTTTAAAGCTCCTGGGACAGTTTTATTTAAACATTGCTTGATGTTTAGGTCTCAATTAGATTTAGAAAACAAGCCAAATTTGAGGCTTCTTTCTTCAGTAGATATTGAATGTATATTATTATGCTGACTAATCAGTATAAACACGCAGCACTTTGCTCCTTCACATAAAGCAGGTTGCCATGTTAGCAAAGGCTTCCTACTAATGTGCTGCTCTAGATAGTTCCTCACTGGAGCTTAATGAACTGAATGGATATTGTCAGCTGGAATTGTACTCTGTTATAAACATGAGTTTCAGGTTCTATTCCTTAATCTGAGTCATTTCTGTCAATTCTTATTGTTTTACAGTCAGATTATCTTTTTCGTTAACATGTTTGTCTCTCCCTGTTATGTGACGCACCAATACAAACAACCAAGGGGGCAGAGACTGTCCATAGGAAAGTAAAATGGACTGCTTATTAAGTGCTGTAAAGTGCACAAAGTGAGCAAGCTGAAAAAGTAGAAAAAAGTAATTGTTTATCTAATCTTTGTCAGTTACAGTGGCCTTATGTTACTTCTAACAACAGTAGGCAAACAAAAGAAATTTCAGGATGCAGTGGGATTTTTAAATTGATGTCAATGACTCTTAAGGAGGGGGCAATACTCATGGGTACTGTTGCCATCTGACTCAGCACCTTCCACCGGCTTTTCTACTCTTTCTGTCTGTCCCTCTGGAATTGGTGGTACCTCTCCTTCACCTGGTGGTTTATTTGAGAGACTACTTTTGCTTTCCTCTGCAAAGGAAAATTGGGATAATTTTCACTTCTTCGGCATTCCAACAGGGTATATTTCTGTGTTTTGCTCTCAATCTCCATATTTGGATAATGGAGCATCATCCACAGTCTTGGAGCATTAAAATTCCTTCTATCCTACAATGGATTTCCTGCTCATGCAGAGTGAATTTCATTGGTTAAAACTGATTTAGGACTTAAGAGAAGGAGAGGAGCACTTCTTGGAAAGGAAAAGTGCATTAACAGAAAGCATGGTCGTAGAGCATTTTAAACTAAGGGCTGGGGGAAAGCCGACAAGTGCGGAGGAGCACATGGTTCGGACATCCCTTAGGGGAGGATCTATTAACAGAGAATCTCTGTCCTAGTGAGGACGAGAGGATGAAAAATGATCAAATACAGGCAGGGTCTGATCAGAAACAGTCAAATAAAGAGTCCCATTCAATTACATCATGTAATGGTAGACAGCTAAAAGGAGACCAGTTTTTAAAGTGTTTATATACCAATGCTAGAAGTCTAAATAATGGGTGAATAATAAAATGGGTGAACTAGAATGCCTCTTATTAAATGAGGATATTGATATAATAGGCATCACAGAAACTTGGTGGAATGAGAATAATCAACAGGATACAGTAATACCAGGGTACAAAATATATTGGAAGGACAGAACAGGTCGTGCTGGTGGAGGAATGGCATTATATGTGAAAGAAAGCATAGAATCAAATGAAGTAAAAGTTGTAAATCAAATTAATCTAACTGTACCATAAAATCTCTATGGATAGAAATTCCAAGCTCTAATAATAAGAATATAGCGGTAGGGATATATTACCGACCACCTGACCAGGATGGTGATAGTGACTGTGAAATGCTCAGGGAGACTAGAGAGGCTATTAAAATAAAAATCTCAATAATAATAATAATAATAATGGGGGATTTCAATTTTCCCCATATTGACCGGGTATATGTCACCTCAGGACGGGATGCAGAGATAAAATTTCTTGACACCTTAAATGATTGCTTCTTGGAGCTGCTGGTCTTGGAACCCACCAGAGGAGTAGGGTGACCAGATGTCCCAATTTTATAGGCAATACAGGCTTGTAAACCTGACTTCAGTACCGGGAAAACTGGCTGAAACTATAATAAAGAACAATATTGTCAGACATATAGATGACCATAATTTGTTGAAGAGTCAACACAGTTTTAGTAAAGGGAAATCATGCCTCACCAATCTACTAGAATTCTTTGAGGGGGTCAACAAGCATGTGGACCAAGGGGATCCAGTGGATATAGTATACTTAGATTTTCAGGAAGTCTTTGACAAGGTCCCTCACCAAAGGCTCTTACGCAAAGTAAGCTGCCACGGGACAAGAGGGAAGGTGCTCTCATGGATTGGTAACTGGTTAAAAGATAGGAAACAAAAGGTAGGTATAAATGGTGAGTTTTCACAATGGAGAGAGGTAAATAGTGGTGTCCCTCAGGGGTCTGTTCTGGGACCAGTCCTATTCAACATATTCATAAATGATCTGGAAAAAGGGGTAAACAGTGAAGTGGCAAAATGATGATACAAAACTACTCAAGATAGTTAAGTCCCAGGCAGACAGCGAAGAGCTACAAAAGGATCTCTCAAAGACTGGGCAACAAAATGGCAGATGAAATTTAATGTTGATAAATGCAAAGTAAAGCACATTGGAAAGCATAATCCCAACTATACATATAATATGATGGGGTCTAAATTAGCTGTTACCACTCAAGAAAGAGATCTTGGTGTCATTGTGGATAGTTCTCTGAAAACATCCACTCAATGTGCAGTGGCAGTCAAAAAAGCGAACAGAATGCTGGGAATAATTAAGAAAGGGATAATAGGTCAGAAAATATCATGTTGCCACTATATAAATCCATGGTATGCCCACATCTTGAATACTTTGTGCAGATGTAGTCACCCCATCTCAAAAAAGATATATTGGACTTGGAAAAGGTTCAAAAAAGGGAAACAAAAATTATTAGGAGTACGGAACGGCTTCCGTAGGAGGAGAGATTAATAAAACTGGGAATTTTCAGCTTGGAAAAGAGAGGACTAAGGGGAGATATGATTGAGGTCTATAAAATCATGACTGGTATAGAGAAGGTAGATAAGGAAGTGTTGTTTACTACTTCTCATAACACAAGAGCTAGGGGTCTCCAAATGAAATTTATAGGCAGCAGGTTTAAAACAAATAAAAGGAAGTATTTCTTCACACAACGCACAGTCAACCTGTGGAACTCCTTGCCAGAGGATGTTGTGAAGGCCAAGACCATAACAGAGTTCAAAAAAAGAACTAGATAAATTTATGGAGGATAGGGCCATCAATGGCTACTAACCAGGATGGGCAGGTCTGGTGTCCCTAGTCTCTGTTTGCCAGAAGCTGGGAATGAGTGACAGGGAATGGATCACTTGATGATTACCTGTTCTGTTCATTCCCTCTGGGGCACCTGGCACTGGCCACTGTCGGAAGACAGGACACTGGGCTAGATGGACCTTTGGTCTGACCCACTAGGGCCATTCTTATGTTCTAATGAATTGAAGGGCCAAGACACAGTGTGCCAAAGTTCTAACAAAATATCCTTCAAAGAACCACAGTAGACTCAGTGCTCTGAATGGGGCGTGCCAATATTCTGTTATAAAATACTCAAAGCACTAAAATGGAAGCTGGTCCCAAAACACCCAGAGAACAAGCCTATCAGAATGAAAGTAGCAATGTATGCTATGCCTGAAACAGGTTGAATGAGTTGACATTCTCAGGACTAAGTAATCCAGAGCAACAAGAAAGGCACCACAGACCAAAAACTAAAGGAATTTATTACAGTTCTGACTGAAGAAGCTGGTCTAACAAGTATGGATTGTCAAAGGTCAGACAGTACATAGCTTCTGCAGGAAGAACCATCACCGACCATGGTCAAGAAGGAACTAGCTGGAAAGTTTTGAGGTGATTCACATTAATCTCTAAGAGATGGGTGTCTCGCATACTGCCCACCACTACTTTGCCTAAAAAGGCCAAAAATCTTAAGAGCTTGGGGAGTTTTACCCCATCTCACACTGGGAGCATGGGGCCTAAGATTGAGTCCCATGTGTATATATTATGCCTGATTCCTCTACCTTGTGTAGTCAGACTAATGCAAAGTAGGTGTAAAATGCTACCAGATCAGAATTTTGCAATAATGTAAATTTCTAAACAAGGTGCAGAGCAATAGAAAATCAGGCCTAGTAAAGAAAAGATTACTTCCTGTCTTTTCAAGCCTGAGCAGTGAACCCAGAATACACAGAACACTCTTTGGGCCAGCTTCTCATCAACACACAAGAAGAAGCAGATGCACTCGTCCACCATGGACATCTTTGTGTGTTGTACAGCACACATCACTCAAAGGCTGACATCTTACCTTGGTTCATCATGGAATCAACCCTAGCCCCGGCATGCCCACAACAAACACTGGTGTGAACTGGAACCATAGACCCCCTACCCACCTCCTCACCCATCCCTTTACCCCCAACCCCCACCACCAAAAAAAACCCAGGGAACTGTCCAGTATGCACACGTAAGACTACCCTAGGATCATTACTGAAATCTCTGTATAATGGCAGGTAATACTCACGGACACTACTGGTATCTGCCTCTGCACTTTCCACTGCCTTCTCTACACCTTCCTCCTGTCCCTCTGGAGTAGATGATACTTCTCCTTCACCAGGTGGTTCTTTAGGGGCACTACTTTTGACTTCCCCTGCAAAAGAAAATAGGGATAATGTTCACTTCTTCTCAATACCCACTTAAGTATATTTGAATTCCCAAACGGTGGATGTGTCTCACTGGTTTGTATGCTACATATCGGAATAATGCAACATTGAAGTTCTTCCTATCCTGCAAGGAATTTTCTACTATGCAGAATTAAATCCATTGAATAATACACTGCATTCCTTCAAAAAATAAAAGCAAAAGACACTTCCTTTCTGCAGGTAAGGTTGAATATTCGGGCTGCAGGACTTTACACACGTTTTTAGACAATAATCTCAATGACTTGACTTGACCTGCAAAGGAATTTGATTTGTACCCTTTTTTGCTTCTTTATGATAACTTTTTAGTTTTTGTTTAAAAAGGAAGTGGGGGGGGATGGTTTTGTTTGTTTTTTACCTTAGAAATATGAGGTATGTCAAACCTGATCTTCCCTTCTCTTGCTGAAGGACATTTTTGAAAGTCTCAGGAGATGTGCATTATGAGGCTTCACACATTAACTTAAGGGGTAAGGCAACAAATGAAAGTGTTCAATAGGCATTGCAGTTAAGTAGGTATAATAAAAATGAACCAAAAAACCCCAAGATTTTAAACAGCCTGACTATATATATATCCTTCCCCTAACTGTTCTTCAGCTTTCAATCTTTTGCTTTGCATGATGTCATAATTGCACCAGTTCTCGAGCTGCCACAGTCTTCCAGGGGAGACAAGACCTGAATTTCTAACGTAAAAAACAAGCAGCAATGTTTGTCTTTTAATTTAAAAAGCTTTTTGACCTCCAAACTACCTCACAAATAAGTAAACAAATAATTAAATAAACATAAAGCCTTTCTTCCCCTTCGTCTCCTTTGCAAGTTACCTTTACCTTAGTCTCAATCTTAACTTGCTTTATCTCTTGCTTTTTTTGATTTCACATATCTATTCCCAAACAAGACACTTTAAAATGGAGTTAAGATTGAAAGTATATAAGAGCAATTTAAAGATTAAAAACAACTTTCAAGAATATTGTAGTTTAAAAAAAAAGTATTAGAAATCCAGAAAATTCAACTTAAAAGAAACTTGAATATTTGAAAGAATGGAAATGCACAGTTAACGGCTAACTGGATCCCCTTTGTTTTCTGGAACCAGGGCTTTCAAGCCAAGAAATAAGAAGTCTCTAAGGAATAAATCCCTAGTTTCACATTGGATAAGAATCTATGCTAGGAAAGATCACTCTTGGGGTTCCAGTTTCAGGAGAGTGGAAATATCCAATGAAATGCAGAGTGCTGACAAACGTCGTATCACAGGTCCAGGATACTGGAGAATGGAGAAGTTATTATATAACTAGAATGTATGCGACCTGCAAACACTGGAAAAAATCCACCCACCTTCTCCTGACGGTTCAGGGATCTTCTCAGCATCCTGCTCTCCTGCATAATCCTTTGAAGAGTCAAACTTTTCCACATCTGCCTGATCCTCCTGATCCGAACCTTTCCTAGGTTTGCTCTCATCAGAACTCTCGTTCTCTGGGACTTCCATTTCTCCTTTATAAACAAGAGCATGTCTTACAGACAGATCAGTAATAAGAATCTGTCTACATTTATGTATTGTTTGGTTACATCCCTCATGATTAACAATTAATTAAACCTATTAGTCTGTGCACCTATACTTTTCAGATGGCCTCCTACTTACATTATAACAGCAGAGTTGCCAACTCTGGGAATTATACTGCGAGTTCTGTGATATTTGTTGTTTTTCTTAACGTGCCAGTTCCTGGAGTCATGAATCTCAGCTTTCATTTAAAATAAAACATACGTTTCTAGCCCTCCATGACTGCTGCAAAAAAGCTTGAAAACATAAATTCTGAAGGCTCAAAACCCAGAAGATGAAAAGAACCCTAAATTTTTTTTTTTTTAAACAACTCAGGATATGTAAGCCAATCTTGTGATTTTTAGATTCCTGACTCTTGATTTTGTACACTTGGGGCTGGTAATACTGGAACAGAGGTTCTACTACCAACACTACAGTTAGTCACAGATATAGGTGCAGGCAAGCTGAATGAATACAGGGTAGGGTGTCCAGAGACCGGAGTTCTTCCAATCCCAAATCTGCCACTGTCATCTTGTATAAATTTGTACCAGCCACTTAACCTCTCTCTGCCTCAATTATCCCATGTGTGAAATGAGAATAACCACACTTATCCATCTTATTAAAGTGTTTTGATATCTATGGCAAAAAGTCCTATCAAAGTTCAAATTATTGTAATTAATTAATTAATCATTTATTATTAAAATTAGGGATGTGTCATTATAAATCTACTCAGTTTCCATTATAAATCTACTCAGCTCTGAAAAATGCTTCAGGCTGAAAGGTGAGTATGAAGATTTCAATCTGAGAGACATCAAGGGTCTACTGGCAGCATGTTGTTGCAGTGCTCAGTGTTTGTAGTACAGTGGTGGTGTTTGTGTACTATGCCACAGGGATTGAAAGTGCTGAGGAAATTCAGAGATCAGAATTTTTGTCTGATTCCCATTACCAGGCTTTCACACATTGACTAGTCCAGGAAGCATTTGTACTGGTTCACTACCTAGGTGTCTTTGCAACAATTGTTTGTCAGATGAATTTTTAACAGCATTTCCTAAACTGCTAGAATTAAGGAGTACAGATTGTTACTGTATTTGAAAACCGAGGTCTCGAGCTTTCATATGATATAGTGCAAGGAATTTCAATTTATATTAGTTCTGGACATAGTGACCACTAAAATCATGTCAGAATTCAAATGGAAAAAAGGCAAAATGTTAACCAGAATATTATTCTTAGATCAAATGTTTCACAATTTGCCAGAGCTGGAAACTAATGTTGTTCCTTTCAGTCCTACTGGTTCACAAGTTTAGTCTATAAAACTACATCAGGCCTATACTGGTCCCTTAGCCTTGCTTTATTGGCACACATCCAGGGTTAAAACCAAGTTTTCTTTCACTTTCAGCCACCAGTGCTTTAGGCTGTGGAGCTTCAAAGGGGAGCTCCACATTCTCTCAAACTACCTTCTTCCTGGCCATGCTGCTCATAAGCCACAACCGGTCTCAAGACAGGGAGATACATGCAGTCATGCCTCTCAGTCTTATCATAAATACGTTGTTAATCGGCAATTTTGCTGACACAGAGGAGTCCCACAAGTTGTCAGTAAAGTTGTAAGAACACAGAGCTCAGAGCCCTTTGAAGATGCAAAGTGTAGTGTTATTGTGGCTTTAGGAGAAGGAATAGGGTGACCAGGTGTCAGGTTTTTGACTAGAACATCCGGTCACAAAAGGATCCTGGCAGCTCCGGTTAGCACTGCTGACTAGGCCATTGATTGTCCAGTTGGCGGAGCCGCACAGCAGGGCTGGCAGGCTCCCTGCTAACCTCCGCTCCACGCAGCTCCCCACTAGCCTCCACTCCACACGGCTCCCGGGAAGCAGCCGGCATGTCCCCCATCTAGTTCCTACGTGTAGGGCAGGGGTGGACAACCTAGGGCACATGGGCCAGATCTGGCCCCATGGTTAATTTAATCAGGCCTGCGGCACCCCCGGGAACGTCGGCTCGCCCCGTTGCTACGGGGGAAACGGAGCCACTGTGCCACTTGTCCTGCTGCGGGGGGAAGCCCCAAGCCTTTGCCCCCACCCCCAGCGGGGCTGGAGCCACAAGTGCCAGCTTTGCCCCACTGCAGAGGGAAGCCCTGAGCCTTCGTGCTCCCCAGGTCAGGTGAGTGGCCCGCGATTGATTTTTTTTTCTGTGGGTCAATGGCCCGTGACAGAAAAAAGGTTCCTCACCCCAGAGCCCACACCCCAAGCTGGAGCCCTGATCCCCCCGCCCAAACCTCTTGCCCCAGCCCTGATCCCCCTTCTGCCCTCTAAACCCTTCAGTCCCAGCCTGGAGCACCCTCCTGCACCCCAAACCCCTCATGCCTAGCCCCACTCCAGAGTCTGTACCTCCATCCAGAGCTTTTACCCCCCACACCCCAACCACCTGCCCAAGCCCAAAGCCCCCTCCCACACTCCGAATCCCTCAGTCCCAGCCCAGAGCACCCTCCTGCACCCCAAATCCCTCATCCCCAGCCCCACATCAGAGCCCGCATCCCCAGCCCTGAGCCCCTTCCCGTACCCTGAACCCCTCATTTCTGGCCCCACCACTGAAACCACACCCCAGCCCAGAGCCCGTACCTCCTCCCACATCCCAACCCTTGCCTCAGCCTGGAGCCCCCTCCCCTACTCCTAACCCCTTGGGTTCCCCCACCCAGCCTGGAGCCCCCTCCTGCACCTCAAACCCCTTGTCCCTGGCCCACCCAAAAGCCTGCACCCCCAGGGGGAGCCCTCACTCCTTCCCCTAGCCCCCTTAACCAGCCTGGTGAAACTTAGCGAGTGTGTGAGGGTGGGGAGAGCGAGCGACAGGGGGTAGGGGTGGAGTGAGCAGGGGTGGGGCCTCAGAGGAGGGGCAGGGCATGGGCAGAGCTTTGGGGGAGGGGTGGGGCAGGGCAGGGGTGGAGCAAGGGTGTTCAGTTTTGTGTGAGTAGAAAGTTGGCAACCCTAAAAATGAATAGAATCTCCAGGGAATGGGAGCTGACTGCTGGAGGAAGCAGTTTGGTTTAGGTTAGACTGATGGACTGACCTGAATTCAGATGCTCTGTATATATGTTAATTATGTATCCAATAAAGACTGTTGTTAAATTACTAGCAATGGATTATTAAGACTAGTGGATTACCTAAATATAAAACAACATACAGAGCTGCCATCAGCATCAAATGATGCCTTTATCTGAATGTGGGATAGATAAACTGTACATTCAGAAGGGTGACAATGCATAACCCAATGCAGAGCTAGCATCTTTCTTTTTTGTTTGCAATTTGTCCTCCTATCTTTCCCCTTTTCTTTATCAAAACAAAATGGTATTTCAATGCACAAGGCTACATAAATGTAGTGCTATGGTTGATATTTTAAATGTATAAACATCAGGAAATTAAATGATGACTAGAAAATATTTCACTGTTAAATACTGGAAACCTTGGAAAAGGGCATATCTAGTGGTTAGGGCAGGAGATTGGGAGTCAGGAGAACTGAGTTCTATTCCTGGCTTTGCCACAGACTCCCTTTGGATGATTCACTTCACCTCTTTGTGCCTTTATTTCCACATCTATACAATGAGAACAATAATACCAAGTTTTGTTCAGCACTGAGAGAGACTCAGAAAAAAAGGAACAATAACTTCAAAATGTAATTATACTGTAATAACTAGTGTTGAGCTAGAGGTGGGGTAGAGCAACAAAACTCTAAATCATGCCAAACTGGCTGATTTTATTTCCATATTCACACACAAAAATCAGCCAACTTTTGTAGGAAACTTTTGGGCCCCACAAGCCTTTCAGCAAAATTGAAACTCGTGCTATCTGTGGATAGGTGTGAAGTGTTTGAGGCTGAATTTTGTGCTTTGATAACAAAAGTTTATAACTGTGATCTGATTATATGACAACTGGATTGTTGAACACCCTCTTCCCTGTCCCTTCTCCCCAAGCATGAGGCTAAATGAAAAATTGCTGGTATTGTTCTGAGTTCCCCTTTGAAAATGGCAAGTCACGCCCAGCTCTAGTTATAACCTTTCAGTTCAGAACCTTCAGCACTTTTCTACAGCTTTGATTTTGAATTTAAAGCCACTTCTCTAGAAAAGTGAGTTTCACCTCACTCGTTCTTTTCTCCAAGGTCAACTGCCTTATATCCCATTCCTTTACAGTGTTTGACTTCTTTCCACCTGGGAGAATTTGCTCCTTTCCACAACTATCCTATCCTTTCTTGATTCCTTCTCCATTTCTATCTAGCACAGTAACCATGAACAGTAAGAACATAACCATATCATATTCTGCCCACCCCTGACTTTTTAGACTGTTGAGTTAATGGAGACCTTACATGATGATTGAAACATTAGACTACCATTACACTTGGATAAAGCCTCTACTCACCTGTTGCGGACACATTTGGCTTCTCTGTGTCCAGCTCTGTTTCAGGATCTTTGGAAATGTCAGACTTCTCTCCATCTGCCAAGTCTGGCTGGTTTAAGTCGTCACCAGGTATAGTCCCCTCAATACTCTCTTTCTCCGATTCTTCCTTTCCTTTATAAGCAAGAATATGCCACTGAGACAAATCTGTGTTTCTCTTAGCCTGCATCTTTTTTCATAGAACTATTGCAATACTTGCTCAAAATACTCTTGAGAGGGACAGCAGGTGCAAGCATATGCAACAACAGTTCAGAATTAAATTTTCATTTAAAAAAACGAATCTTCTTGTCATTATGATGACAAAGAAAATCTTCCAAATGTGAATCAAATATAACTCAATGCAGCACTGTTTACAGTTCTAGTACCTCTGCTGTTGCTCATAGCTTTGCCAAGCTGCAACAGGGTAAAATTAACATGCTTAGTCAATTTCATCACTGCTATTCAGAATCCTGGGGATGGCATTATTATTATTCACTATTTCTATCACAGTTTAGTTATGAAACTGTTGATTTCCTCCTCCTGCTGCTATTTGACAAAGCATAAATAATATTCAGAGGTACCGGGAATTTTTTTGTATTTTGTTCTACTGTCTCTTCCTCTTTTCTTTAGAAAAACAAAAAAAGATAATTTGTGTAACATTACATAAATGCAGTGCTGTGGCTGATATTTTAAATGTGTAAAAGTCAAGAAATTAAAAAATGACAGGAATATATTCCACTGTTACATTTGGAAACCTTGGAAAAGAGCATATCTAGTGGTTAAGGTAGGCAATTGAGTGTCAGAAGATCTGGGTTCTAGTCCTGGCCCTACCACAGACTCCTTGGGTAACACATTTGGCCTTGCTGTGCCTCAGTTTCTACATCTGTAAAATGGGAATAATACCAACTTTTTTTTAGCACCATGAGGGGCTCAGAAAAAAAGGAGCTATAAATGCAAAATGTAATGATACTGTAATGACTAGTGATTAGCTATGAAACCCTAAGCCATGTCAAACTTGGCTGATTTCACTTTATGTTCACACTCGCAATCAGCCAACATTTGTAGGAAAGTTTTGGACTCTACAAGCCTTTCAGCAAAACTGAAACTTTCACTATATCTGGATAGGTATGGAGCATTTGAGGCTGAATTTGTTGCTTTCATAACAACATACAACAACATACATTTCATACATTCACAGAATGTAAGGCCAGAAGGGACCATTCTTATCTAGATAACACAAGCCACAGGACTTCCTTGAATTAATTGCTGCTTGAATTAGAGCATATGTTTTAGAAAAACATCCAAGATGGATTTAAAAATTGCCAGTGATGGAAAATCCTCTACAAACCTGGGGAAATTGTTGCACTGGTTTACTACTCTTACTGTTAAAAATTTACACCTTTATTTCCAGTCTGAATTTGTTTAGCTTCAACCTCATGACACTGGATTTGTTATACTTTTCTCTGCTACATTGAAGAGTACATTATCAAATATTTGTTCCCCATGTAGGTATTTATGAACTGTGATCAAGTCACCCCTTCAATTTCTCTTTGTTGAGCTAATAGGTTGAGCTCCTTGAGTCTCACTACAAGGCATGTTTTCCAACCCTTTAGTCACTCTGATGGCTCTGTTCTGAACTCTCACCAGTTTACCAACATCCTTCTAGAATTGTGGGCACCAGCACTGGACACACTATTCCAGTAGCGGTTGCACCAGTGCCAAATACAGAGGTAATATAACCTCCGTATTCCTACTTAATATTCACCTGCTTATACATCCAAGAATTGCATTAGCCCTTTTGGCCTTAGTATCACATTCAGAGCACATGTTCAGCCAATTACCCACCAGGACCCGCAAGTCTTTCTCAGAGTCTCTGCTTCCCAGGATAGTCTTCCCCCATTCTGTAATTATGGTTTGCATTCTTTGTTCCCAGATGTATAACTTTACATTTGGCTATATGAAAACAAATATTGTTTGCTTGCACCCAGTGACTCAGCTCACCGAGCAATCCAGATTTCTCTGTACCAGTGCATTAACAGTTGATCTGATTATATGACAACAAGATTGTTGAACACCCTCTCCCCTGTCCCTTATCCAATGTATGAAACAAAATGAAATATTGCTGGTTATGTTTTGAGTTCCCCTTTGGCAAGCCAGCTCTAGTTACAACCTTTCAGTTCTGAACTTCCTGCCAATTATTATACTTTTCTACAAGTTTTTTAATTTAAAGGCACTTTGCTGGAAAAATGAGTTTCACACCACTCATTCTTTTCTTCAGGGTCAGCTGCCTTATATCCTGTTTCTCTTTACAGTATTTGACTTCTTTCCACTTGGGAGAACTTATTCTTTTCCACAACTTTCCTCTCCTTCCTTGATTCCTTCTCCATTCCTGTCCAGTAGAGTAACTATGAGCAGTAAGAACATCACTACATCATATTCTGCCCACCAGTGTCTTTTTAGATAATTGAGTTCATGGAGATCTTACACAACGACTGAAATATTAAACTGTCATCAGACTTGGAGAAAACCTCCACTCACCTTCTGTTGAGGACTCATTTGGCTTCTCTGTGTCCAGCTTTGTTTCAGGATCTTTGGAAATGTCAGACTTCTCTCCATCTTCTAAATCCTGTTGTCTTGACTCCTCTGGGTCTTCCTTTTCTTTGTGAACAAGAGTATGGAATTGAGACAAATCTCTGTGTTTCTGTTAGCCTGCCTCTTTTATCATAGAACTACGTGATACTAGCTCACAGCCCTCATGAGAGGGACAACAGATGCTAGCATGTGCAACAGCAATTCTGCAGAATTAAATTTTTTTAAAGTTAATCTTCTTGTACTTATGATTATTACAAAGAAAATCTTCCCAATGTGAGTTGAGCGTAACTCAAGGAGTGTTGCCTTTTGTTCTAATAGTCTTCTGTTGCTCATTGTTTTGCCCAGCTGCAGCCATGTGAAATTAACATAACTCATTAGTTTCATGGCTGTTATTCAGAACTTTAGAAGTATTAAGTATTATTATTATGTATTTATTTGAATTGCAGATTAGTTGGGAAGCTGTTCACGTCCTGCAATAGAAAATTATTAGTAACAGAGAGGGGCACTGGAGCTATTCACAGGGGAAGAGAACCCAAATTATGGACTGTAAGGGAGAGGTGTAGTAGCAGAGAACTCCTTCCTCTCTTCTCTCTCCCCAGCAACAACCAGGATTCTGAGACCCTCTTTCTTATAGTATTTATATGGTTCTGGTGGGAGAAGAGAGAGAAAACACTCTGTCTCCAGCAGATTGGGGGGAAGCTTAGTCAGAGACTGGTATTCAAAAGATAGGGCTATCAAACAGGGTCCAGGCACAGTCAGAGCTGTCCCTGGGGTAGGGCAAATTGGGGCAACCGCTCCAGACCCTGCGCTATGGGGGGCCCCCACGGTCGGTCCTGGAAGAGGAGAGTCCATCACTTCCATTCTGTGCCCAACACCCCCCTAGGGATGGCCCTGGGCACAGCACCCTCTCCCTTCCCAGCATGATTTGAGGGCTTCAGCCAGAGGTCAGGCGTCTATTACAGGAGTGGGTGGGGGGAGGTTCTGTGGCCTGCGATCTTCAGGAGGTCAGACTAGATGATCCCTTCTGGCCTTAAAGTCTATGAGAGGGACAGCACAGGTGGTCGGGATTCCCCAGGCAGGCGCTGCCCTTGAACCTTGCTGATATGTTGCGTAGATGTAATAGGGACGGACCTGGTCCTCGGCCGGCGGGATCGAACCTGGGGTCTTTGGAGCTTAGTGCATGAGCCTCCACCCCATGAGCTAAAAGCCAGCCGGCTGTTCGCTAAGGCTGCAGAGCAGACTCATTTTCTCCCTCTCCCTCTCTCTCAGTGGTCTGGGTGCCAGTCGAGGGGACAGAGCACCACCCCCAGGAGGTGCGGAGTGTGGGAGCGGGGGTTACAGACGGACCAGACATTTGCATTTTAAACCGCAATGTCACTGACTCCAGCGTCTGTCAGCTCTGGCTGACACTGTCCCGTCGCCCCCCCCCGCCGCCGCCGCCGCCGCCGCCTGGCCCGGCCCCGGGGCTCTAATCCGTTCTCGGGCAAGCGCCGTCTCCGCTGTCATCACACGCGGCTTCTCCCAGCAGCGGCTGGCGTCGGGCCCTGTGCTAAAAGAAGGCCCAGAACAGCTGCCCCTCTCCCCGGCAGGGCCGCTGCGCATTCGCTGCCCGAACAGGCGGCGATGAAACAAGGGGACTTGCCCCCGCGCTCGGTACCTGACGCGTCCCGCGGCCCCTCCGCCTCCATCGCTGGTTTACCTGGTTGCTAGGCAGCCGCTTCCGGGGCCCGGCGCCTCCTGGGAATTGTAGTTCGAACGGCCGCGGGCCGGGGCTCAGGCTACGGACCAGGCCCCGACAAGGTGACTTGAGCGCCGGGCCGCCGCGCGCGGGCGCACGCGCAGAGCAGCCCAGAAGAACGTGCCGGGGTGCGGGCTGGAGGCTTGCTGGTTCTGTAGCCGTGTCAGACACAGTCATAGTGGTTGCTGTTTTACACAGGCAAACACACACACACTGACAAACACAACGCTTCCTTGAGGATTCTCGGGGGAGGGAGGGGACTTGATTGGCCACGTTAGTGATTTTTTTTTTTTAAAACTAACAAAAAGTTTCAGAGTAACAGCCGTGTTAGTCTGTATTCGCAAAAAGAAAAGGAGGACTTGTGGCACCTTAGAGACTAACCAATTTATTTGAGCATAAGCTTTTGTGAGCTACAGCTCACTTCATCGGATGCATTCAGTCATAATGTCATACAGTAGAATCTTATAACTTTAGATATGTTGCCACATATTTTACCAGGACAATAATGATCAGCAAATTATGAGTATTGAAATGATGTCTCACAAGGCATTTGTACTTAGTACAAAATGTATCATAGTTTGTAAAAAGGGTAAACAGGAGCACACACTGACTTAACCTACATCTAAATCTACATTTTGCAGTTTGAGCCCAACTCCAGTTTAAAGGGAATAGTTAAGATTATACCACCTCTGAGCAACAAAAATTCACTGATGAAAGTGCAGTTAGACATAGCCTAAGACATGTTCCAAGTCTGGAGAGCAGTCATAAACCAGTTCCCAAAAGACAAAAGGCTAACCGGTGCCTCAGCCATCAAACAGGCCATCACCTGGTTAAGTGGTCATTCATCAGTCCAGATTGTACCCCGGGTAATGTTACACCCATCTTTGCTTTAAAGTTAAAAGGGAAGACACTCCAACTCTTTATATGCTCTCAAGTTATCACAGAGCAATGTTCACATGAAGCATTTTGTACTATCTACCCCCTACTATGGGGCATTAGTGCATTATATTCCTAGAAGTTCCCATGACTTGCAGCTCCTGAAACTGCAGGTTTGGCAACAGTACCTGAATCAGCTCTGAGCAAATCTGGCCCTGGAATGTGCAATATCCATTCCAGGCTCAAAAATCATTCCAGTGACCAGTCAGGTCACCATAATAGCTAAGGTTATAAAATAGTTTTCTATAATATCTTGCTGTTTTCGTATGGTCATAACTTTCCAGAACATTCATCTTTGGGACTGAAATTTTTCATGCCTGGTCTCCACTGGTGAATTATTTTGGAAGGTTTGAGCAAAATCTCTCCAATCACTTTTATATTATGGGTTCCTGAAAAAAAATATTATTGTGGGTTGGGTTAAACCTCTTTTAAGCTGTTGGATGTAACCACCACCCCTCATTTAAGGGAGCAGTAAGAGACATCTAAAACTTATGTGAGTCTGCCCAGGAATTAGAAGTGTGTGAGTGCAGGGCTTTGATTAGTATGGGTGGGGGGGGGGGAATGTTGTTTGTTTGTTGGCAAGAGGGAGAGACAGGCAACACCAGGGGAGGCACCACACAAACAGAAGGAGCAAAAAGGTCTAGACGCTGCATGGAATGATGGTGAATGGCCCTTTGAGAAGTCTTAGAGTGAGGTTTTTGGGTAGGAGTACTGGTTGAAAGAAGTAAAGAAACTATGAGTAAAGAAACTATCTCTTGCTGTTTGATTTTTACTGTGTTCAGGGAAACAGGACTTTATGTATATTCTCTGTGGATAAACAAGATTGCATAAAAAAATCACTCTATCATCAGTTTCTCTTCCTAACTGTAACAACCCACAACACTCCTAATTTAGTTAACTACTGAGGACAAACATTTTTCTCACTACAAACAAAGTATAACCACACTGTTTTGAACAGGACTATGCCAAAAATGGTTGAGCTTTGAAACTAGAAACTTGAACTGGGTTTATTCCTAACTAAAGACTAGAGAGACTTTGCTTGGCATAGATTTACCAATGGTATATGAGCATTTGAAAACTGCACACTGAATATGCACTTTAAATTCTTTCATTAAATCCACAGGTGTTCAGCTAAGTCCTGATCTTGCAGGCAGGCTGCTATGCCTGTAAAGGTACCCTTTGAAGTCAATTAATTTGGTTCCTATGCAGGGAGGGTAATGACTTTCTTTTTGTGCAAGAGACAAGTTAGGTGAGGTAATATATTTTATTGGACCAACTTCTGTTAGTGAAAAAAGACAAGCTTTTGATCTGCCACCGAGCTTTTCTTCTTATTGTTCAGCACACAGTGTATTGTGTTTGTGAGAGCAGGAATGTAAGGTAGTATATGCTAGTAGTTTGCAATTATAGAAAAAAGTTGCTGAAGTTGTAGCAAAATGACTCTGCATCTGGGAGTAAGAAGTATATGGAGGAATTTTTTTCCTGTTTGTTTGCTTTCTCTGATGCATGGAGGAAAAGAGAAGTGATTTGACTCCAGAAGGAAGGAATGCAAGCACAGGGAACTTATTTTTCATGGGGAGGGAACTGCACTAGCTCTAGGATTTGTTTGTTGTTGAGTTGGAATTGGAGAAGGCAGCTGTAACGGAAGATGAGCCAGGCAGGGGAGGAACAACTCTAAGGGTTGACTGTCAGGCATAGTTAGGGAGAGAGGAGGAAGTTTCACAGGGGAAGGAGAAACAATAGCTTTAGATTTAGTAGATGCAGTACTACTTTGCCTGTTGCCACCCTACTACTGAAATTTTGCAAGCAGGTCCTCTACAGAGGATATTTCTCTATGCCTCAGTCCTGTGAAATGGGGACAGTAATATTTCCTTACATCATAGAGTTGTTGTGAGGAGACACAATAATATTTATCAAAAAGAATGAGGAGTACTTGTGGCATCTTAGATTTATTTGAGCATAAGCTTTCGTGGGCTAAAACCCACTTCATCAGATGCATGCAGTGGAAAATACAGTAGGAAGATATATATATACACCCAGAGAACATGAAAAAATGGGTGTTGCCATACACACTATAACGAGAGTGATCAATTAAGGTGAGCTATTATCAACAGGAGAAAAAAACCTTTTGTAGTGATAATCAGGATGGCCCATTTTCAACAGCTGACAAGAAGGTGTGAGTAACAGTGGGGGGGGGCAGGAGAGGAGGAAATAAGCATGGGGAAATAGTTTTACTTTGTGTAATGACTCATCCACTCCCAGTCTTTATTCAAGCCTAATTTAATGGTGTCCAGTTTGCAAATTAATTCCAATTCAGCAGTCTCTCGGTGGAGTCTGTTTTGGGACTTTTTTTTGTTCTAATATTGTGACTTTTAGGTCTGTAATAGAGTGACCAGGGAGATTGAAGTGTACTCCGACTGGTTTTTGAATGTTATAATTCTTGACGTCTAATTTGTGTCCAGTTTTTTTCTCCTGCTGATAATAGCTCACCTTAATTGATCACTCTTGTTATAGTGTGTATGGCAACACCCATTTTTTTCATATTCTCTCTCTGTGTGTTTATATATATATATATATATATATATATATATATATATATATATTCCTACTGTATTTTCCACTGCATGCATCTGATGAAGTGGGTTTTAGCCCACAAAAGCTTATGCTCAAAGAAATTTGTTAGTCTCTAAGGTGCCACAAGGACTCCTCCTTCTTTTTGCTGATACAGACTAACAGGGCTACCACTCTGAAACCTGAATAATATTTATGATGCACTCAGATACTATGGTGGTAGGGGACACACAAGTACAGAGATAGCTAAGATAGATGTTCAGCCCCCACCCCCGCAAAAGTGCCTGCATTTGTCTGCTGTGTGATGGTGCCTCCCTCCTTGTTGGTAGTTTTGAGAAAACATGGGAAAACAAATTCATGGTTCCAGATTCTCTCAGCTCATCTGTTTTTAAGTAAATGAAGCCAGGGGAAATGAGGTTTGTCATCTTAGAAGGGGGAAATTTGGAGGGAGCCTCTAGTTAAAAAATGAGCACATTTAAAAAAAATCCCAAGCACTATTGTGACCAGTTGTGTTTTTGTGCGGGGATTTGAGATGATTGTACTAACTTTAAGAGATGCTCGATTGTCAGTGTCAAAAGGGTGCGACATAGGAGCACATGCTAAGAGACTGGTGTTTATTTCCAGTAGCTCCTGTGCCCCTCTGTATTGTAAACTCAGCCCTGCGATGAGAATGGATTTGCCTGCTGGACTTTTTAAGGGAACTGTGAGGGGGGCTGAGGGAGGAGTCTCCCCGGCTGTCAGGCAGGGGGAGTGACTCTGGTTTGTTTGTGAGGGAAGGCAGGTGGCAATGAGCGAGGGAGAAGAGGAGGGGTTTGACCAGTGAGCGGGGAGGGATCACCACCTGTAGGGCTAGTGTATGGCAGCGGGGAGACGAAGGGACAGGAACAGGAACAGCAGGTGGAGGAGGAAGGCAGTGGGGGAAGGGCGGTCAGTCCCCGGGGGAGCTGGCAGAGAGCCGCAGAGGGCAGTGGGGCGGAGGCGGAAGGAGGCACAGGTGGGAGTGGGGCAGCGGTCTCGGGGTTGGGAGCGAGGCGGAGCGCTGGGGTGGCTGGGGCTGTCGCCGTGACCCTCCGGGGAAGGCGGCGCCATGGCCCGGAGCTGGCGGTGGCTGCAGGGGCTGGTCCTCACCTGGCTCCCCATAGGTAAGTGGGGGGAGCGGGCTGCAGCCGGGTCGGGCTCAGCGGGAGCCGCGGCCGCACAGGGGCCCGCCCCGAGTCCTCTGGGCCCTAGGGGCGGCTCGTCAGCGGAGTCCTCCCCTGCTGGGGTCTCTGATTCCCCTCCCCGCAAGTACTTGGACTCTTGCTCCTCCCTTTCCTGGAGCAGTTCTGGGGCGGGGGGTCTCCTCCCTGGGGGCCCTGCACCCCTCCGGGCTGGGGTTCATGCATCTCTGGAGAAGGGACAGCTGGGCGTCCACGGGGCGGGGAGGGGGAGATGCTGGGGCTCAGTGGCTAGCCTGGGTGCTTTGCTATCCACGTGCCCCCTGCCAGCAGGGA